ACACCCAAAAAAACACTATCCATAAAGGAAAAAATAAATCTCTCTAGTTTAAAATTAAGAACTTCTCTTCATTAAGAGACACCATTAAGTGTATGACAAAGCAAGCCAGAGGGAGAAGATGTTTGCCACAGGTATAGCTAACAAAGGAGTCATACCCAGAATATACAAGGAACACCTACAAATCAATGAGAAAAAAATAGACTTAAAAAGCTATTTCATAAAAGAAATCAAATGGTCCATACAAGTATGAAAAGCTCAACCCCACTAATAATCAGGGAAATGCAAACTAAAACCATGATAAAATATTATTATATACCCACCAAAATGGCCAAAGTTAAAAAGCCTGAAAATACCAACTGGTCAGAACAGATGAGCAGCTGCGAGGCAGGGTCTTTGGAATATTCAGTTTTTCGGTATATATTAAAATTGATTGCTTTGTATGCACATTACCTGCTTTTCATTCTCGTTCAGAGTTGGACCACTTGTATTTTTTGGTACATTTCCCTTGGGATCTCTGGAAAAAAAAAAAAACAACCAGTCATTAATTAATTGGGCAACTAAAAATACATAGAAAAAATTAGCTGGGCATGGTGGTGTATGCCTGTAGTCCCAGCTACTTGGGAGGCTGAGGCAGGAGGATTGCTTGAGCCCAGGAGTTTGAGGTTGCTGTGAGCTACCCTGACGCCAAGGCACTCTAGCCTGGGCAACAGAGTGAGACTCTGTCTCAAAAAAAAAAAAAAAAAGATAACAGTCATTAGGAATTAGCTGCAGCCACACTGTCCACTCACTTTTATCCAAAGATTATTCAACTAGAATCCAAAATTCTATGGAATTTTCTGGTTTGGCATACTTTCATTCAGTTACCTCCGTGAAGGACAATTCTCCCCAAATATTTCACTATCAGACACATCTGGAAAGACCCTAAGAAATTACCTTGCTCTCTTCCCTTTGAAACAAAAACCCTGCGAGTCACTTTGTCCCACGGCACCACCTGGTGGTTCCAGTGCATGTTTACCATGGCTCCCCTATCTAGACCGTTTCTTCCAAAGGAGAGTTTTCCGCCCAGGATCATCCGCCACTACGCGCCACGTAGCACAGTTAACTAACACCTCCCGGCAGTCAAGTCCAACTCTGTACAAAGTCCTTCATAAGACTGAGCACCTCGCCATATGCTTATTGGACAATTTTCTCTTTTTTATGAAGTGCTTAAGTTTTTTGCCCATTTTATCTGTTGAGTATCATTTTTCTTTTGGTATATAGAAGTAATTTATATATGCTAGGTACCTGTCCTTTGAAAGTTATATGAATTAAATATATTTTCCAACTCTATGGACTCTTTGTTCTTATAAACAGTATTTTTTGGTGAATATTTTTTTGGTTTTAATATAGTCAAATATATAAACTATTTCTTTTAGAGTTAGGGCTTTCTTGTATCTTATTTGAGAAATACCACTCCTGAGATTTTGTTATATAATTTCTGTGTTATTTCTTCTGTCAGTGTTTGGTAGAAATTACCAGTAAAGCCATCCAGGACTAGAATTTTCTTTGTGGAAAAGCTTTTAAATTACAGATTCAATTTCTTTAATAGTTACCAGACTACTAAATTTTCTTTCTTGCTATGGTTCTCGTAAGGTATGCTTTCTCTATAATCTGCTTATTTCATCTACATTTCAGTTATTCAAAATATCTTAACACAAGCATGATGATTCTTTTCATTCCCGACACTGGTTAGTTCTGGCATTTTTCTTTTTACTTGATAATTCCCACCAAGAGTTTACTACCCATTTTGTGTCTTTTCAAAAACCAATTTATTGCTTTAATCTTTCTTTGCAAATTATATATTTTATTAATTTCTGTTCTTAATTCTTTTTTTTCTTCCATTAATTTAGATTAATTTGCTGTTGTTCTGGTTTCTTGAGAATGTTTAATTTTTAGCCTTCTAATATTTGCACCTAAGGCTATAAACTTCCTTTTAAGTATGGTTTTAATTATATCCCAAAGATTTTCATATTCATTTTCATTCAGTTAAAAATAATTTCTACTTTCGACTATTAGAGGTATATTTCTTAACTTCCAATTTTTGTTATTAATTTAGTTCTGCTGCAGTCAGAGAACCTTCTCTATTATTTGTTGATAGTTTCTTTATGGCTTAACATATAGTCAATTTTGATAAATGCTCCATGTTCACCTGAAAATAATGTATATTTTGTAGTTGTCGGTACAGTGTTCTATATAGGCCTATTAGACTGAGTTTATTAACTGTGTTCTTCCAATTCTCCTATATCCTCACTGATGAGGAGGAGCAGGTGTCTGCTTTCATCGTTTACTGAGACAGCTGCATTAAAATTCTATATATGGACATGTGCTTTTTGGTCCAGATGGAATACCTGCCACTTTATTCTCCTGCCTGAAGCAACTAAAAAACTGGACAAAATACATAAAACAATGCCACTGGAGACACTGGGAAGCTAAGAACAGTAACTGTTGAGAGAACAAGAAACAAGAAGAGGCGAGCCTGTCCAGTGCACCTGTTTGCTACCTGGAGAAACGTGCAGGCCACAGAGCGAGGGAGGGAGTCCGGCTAGGCTAAAGTGGCGAGAGCTCAATTTTCATAAACTCTTCCAGGGAACAAGACATTTTAACATTAATAGCAAACTGTGACAAGGGTAGAAAATTATAGATCATTTCTCTCTTGAACAAAATGCAAAAATCCTAAATAAAATATTGCAAAATAAACTTAGAGATATATAGAAACAATAATGTAACTAAATAGGGTTTATATTAGTAAAGCACAGTGTGAGGTGGGGGAGCAGGGGTGGACAGGAAGGGGTTTACACTATGAAATTTATCAATTAACTCACCAGACTAACACATGAGGGAAAATTATTTGATCATCTCAACAGATTCAAGAAAAGCATTTGACAAAATTCAACACTAGAAATCCCCTTAGCAAACTATTAATATATATAAAACAGAACTTCCTTAAATTCATAAATACCACAAAAATCCTCCAGCAATCACTAGGCTCATTGGTGACATCTGAATGCTCCGCAACCCCAAGATCAGGAACAAAGAAAGGGTTCCCACTATGACCACTTCTGTTCAACACTGTGCTGGATATTCTGGTCAGTGCAGTAATAAAAGAAACAAAATGCAAAATGACTGGAAATAAATGTCACATGAACCGAAGATACGAGCATGCAAAACATTCCAAAATAATTCACAAATAGTTAGCATAAATAAGTGAACAGATAAAGGTAGAGATACAGGTCATTGCAAAAATCAATTTTATTTCAATATTGTATCAACAAATAGTCAACAAAAGATCTAAATAGACACTTCACAAAAGAGACACGTATCCAGATGGCCAGCAAGTGTTTGAAAAGATGCTTGGTACTATTAGTCATTATTGAAATTGAAATTAAAACCACAATAAGATATCAGTACACACTTACCAGAATGTCTGAAATAAGAAAAATATTAGGCTGACTAGCTGCAGAGGAAGGTTCTGAGATAGCCAGTTCTTCTCTTAGCTTTATTAAATTTTGGAGGGTGCAGGGGTTAAAGGAGGCTTCCTGAGGTATGTTTCTGGACTACCACATCCCTTAACTATAGGGGCTGGGTCGCCAAAATAAGACAAATATAGTAAATTGTGTTTGTTTCCTGCTATAACAAATTACAACAAATTTATTATCTTACAGTTCTGACGGCCAGCAATCCAAAATCAAGGTGCTGGCAGACGCCACTTCCTCTGGAGGCTCCAGGAGAGAGTCCCTGTCTTGCCTTGTCCAGTTCCTGGCAGCTGTCGGCACCAGCTGCACGGCTCGAGGCTGCACGTCTCTCTGCCGTCTTCACGTTGCTGTTCTCACACTGCCATCTTCTCAGTGTCTGTGGCATCTTCCTTTGCGTCTCTCTTATAAGGACACCTGTGACGGTATTTAGGTCCCACTCAGATAATCTAAAGTCATCTCATCTCAAAATGTTTAACTACATCTGCAAAGATCCTTTTCTCACATAAAGTAGCACTTACAAGTCCCAGGGATTAGGGTTGGATATTTTTGTTTAGTTGTTATTCAACCTACAACACTTGTATTTAATACATTTCCTAAATTAAAAAATGAGCTAGTGAGACTGGAAAGATGATGCTCAGGGAAAGGAATGGCCTGGGAAAACCTGGTGTGTGTTAGGCAGAGGTAATCTGGGAGAAGGTGGAAGCCTTAGCTATCACGGGAGTGGCATTCACTAGGTACAGCAAGACTGGGTGACTTACCAAAGGTGGTAAAGCAGAATTTCCTTCTTTGCCTGGGTCCTGGGATCTGATCCCATGAGAGCAAAGGCTGTATTTGCACATACGGCCCAAAGGAGTGGCAATGTGCATGCTGTGGCAGACCCAGCCAGCATTCCACTCAGTATCTATTCTTTCCATCTTCACTGGAAAGAATCCTAATTTTGTTAGGAACATCAATTGCTCCGATGAAACAGATCATTTCCAAGATTCCCATGCAGCTACTATCACACAACACAGATCTAACAAGATATAGGCAGAAATATGCAAGTGGAGCTTCTGGAAAAGCTACTGTTTTGCTAATAAAAGGGACACACAATTACACCTTTTCTCCTAAGCCATTCCTTCCCCTTCCTTCCTGAAACGCAGAGGTGCCCCGAGATGGAAATATTGAGTCCCAACAGCATTGTGGAGTTACTGTATCAGCCCCAGACGGCCAGCTCATACACTTTCCTGTTACAAGAAAGAAAGAAAAAGCCCTACTGGGCTTTAAGCCACAGTTATTTGGTTTGCAATCAAAAACAGTCTTTTTAACTTAAATAATAGCTAGGTGTTTCACAGATTCTATATGATCAGTAAGTATACCCCTCCAATTTCTCTGGATACTTAAAAAAATAAGGCTTTCACACCAACATGGATCTGAAACTGGCACTCTCCAATGACTGGGTGTAGCTGTTCCAGATGTTCCATGTATTCACAATAAATGCAGAGAAGGTTAATGTAGAGTCTTTATTGATTCCACCAATGTATTAGTAGACATGATCATAATAAATGGTACTTTTACATTCTTTTAACAAAAAATATAACAAATATTTACACTCAGTAAAAATACAAAAAGCATACAGAGGCACTGTCTTTCTAAAAGACGTAAGTTTAAGAGGTATCAAAAAATAGGAGACAAACATTGCTTGTTACAGGATGCATTACAATCAATGAATTGTGCAGTATAATTGCTATTTGATTATTACAACTGTGCAGTTTTGTTTTTGTCTTTTGCTGATAAGCTTACATGTTTCAATTTTAAAAGATCAACTGCATTCTGTGTATCAAAAATAAAGACGCCTAAAAAATGCACAACAAAAGCTGAAGATGAGCTGGGGTTCAAGTTTAAATTTGAAAATGTATTGTGACATTTTTCTGAAGATTTATCCCTTTTTTCTAGCTTTTAAGGTAATGCTAAAAGAATATATAAACTTTAACATCATATTTTTTTTGAAAAAAACTTAGAATATCAATCATTGTTTTATACTAGGAAACTTTTTCTCCTCCCTTTTTCTGTAGGGGAAAGAATACTTCATAAAACTCAGGCTTGTTCTTAGAAACTCCTCACATTTTCAACCTGGGAGAGACTCTTGAGGTGATGTAAATGATGATAATGTGACTTACCACTCTCATGAAATTCATTACAGACTTTTTCTCCCCAAAGATCATACTGAAGTAATCATGTGGAGTAAATGAGAATTTATTAATTATAATAAATTTTTATGGAACCATGTATTGGATTTACTAATTCTCCAAATCTTTTATTATGAAGAGATTTTGTTGAAACTTACTATTTGGCAAAAGCTTTGCATTGAGGGTTTACTAATGCAATCATCTTGGCAGATTTCAGTTGTGGTAGAGACAGAGGGCACTCATCTATTCCTTAAGATTATAAATTTATAAAATAAAAACAAAACAAAGTGGGATTTGGACTTGGAGCAAATAAAGGTTAAGGCTTTTCTTTTTCTAGTCACATGACAAACTAAGAGAAGGCAGAAATGTACCTTAAATTAAAATATAAAAATCAAAACCTCATGATTTTTTAGGGGATACATACATATCAAACCACAAAGCATTTGGCTTTTAGTTCCTGATCAATGTGATCAGCTGGTCCAAACACTCAGTTAAAGCTAGATTAAAGCCAAGGCAGCTACAAGGCGCAAGTCCAAAACCACAGGCCTCAACTCTCTGTGCAAGGTATTATTTACAGTTTTTACACCATTAAGGACAAAGACAGGTAAGGCTTTCACTTGGTTTGAAAGACCTGCTACATAAAGACACTGTGCAAACAGCACATTCTTCTGGAGTAATGGATATAAAATGGTGAGAACAGACACCCAAATTTGATAAAAAGGTAGTTATGGCAAAAATATCTTTCACTTTCTTTTGCTGTGGACATAAAAACAACATGATGTAAATCAGTGAAGAAAACAATCTGTAATTGGAGGACCACTGTGTATAAGCCAAATCACTTCAGTGTGACGTTCAAACCAGGATTTTTGGTTCAGGCTGCTTTCCGTTTCAAAGGACCAAGAGAGCTATGGAACTACCTAGCCTCATTCTCACATACCTGGGCTAATTTCTAAGGCTTAAATTTTAGATAAATGTTTTCTCCCCGGGGGAATTTGTCAGACATGCTCTTTTTCCTAAAATGAAGAGACAATCATTTTGATGGGCAAGATGAACCACTACCATTTACTACTTGAAACTGATTTATGATTTTAACATGAAGGGGACAGGCAGGAAGACAGAGAAAGGGAGGAGTCACCTAGGAAAGAGAACAAACTCCGACAAAGGAAGTCACAGACCAACTAAATCTACGTGGACACACGTGGACAACCATTCAGAAGTAAACCCTTTTTGGCTCCTAGTTGATCTGGGTAGTGAACATTAATGGCTTTGGCTTCTTCTTTTTTTGGTAATCACAGAAGTTTATTAAAGTCTCACTTGCCTTTACGCTAAAAAACAAATGAAAAAATTTAAACTTAATATACAGAAAAACATTGTATTTCATTTGTAAAAATGAAAAACCTACCACTCCAGTAAATAGTCACTGAAATTTTAATTACTTAAATTAAGAGGGCCATGCCCAAGAGGACGGAAAGGTATGTCCTTTTAAGGACCAAACTGAGAACCAAGAGACAATCATGTCTACAATTCTAGCTCCTCTTTCTCGAACCACAAAATTTTACGGCAGGCAGCTGCGAGCTGTAGGGCTTACCAAGACTGGACACAGCGGGTGCTCTGAGATGTGGGTGGTCCTCTGCAGAACACTGCGTGAGGCCAAATTCATCTCCATGACTACAACACCTATGATTCTACTTCTTTTACAAACAGAACTCATACTTGAGTTGTGAGAAATTTTAGTTTTCAGTTTCTATAGTGTAGAACTCTCTAGAACCCAATCTCTATTAGATTTATACTTGTAGTTATAATACAGCGTAACTATTACTTCAGAAAGAATTTGTATACATGTCATTTAACTTCAAAATTTCATTCTTTGGAAATCAGGGTTCTGGGCCTCTCCCTCCCTACCCTCTCCCCTTTCCCAAAAGACAAGAAACTCTGCGGCAGCTTCATTTGGCCCCCCACACCCACACTATGACCAGCACGAAGTTTCTAACACCTCAGCTTCGAAGGGCTTCCTGCTCCACTCAAAAACTGAGACCCTGCCTTGCACTGGTGCTACAGATCAAGCTGTATCCCTGTACAGATTGAGCATATCATCTCTGCAAAGATGACTTCTGTTCAGACAGACCAGAGACAGTTTTATGTCCTCTAACATAAGTATCAGCTAACAAGGGTTCCCAAATACAAACAAAACCACAACACTTCAAATAATAAGTTAGTTTTCAAATACACAAGAATATCCTTGGTATTGGCAGACACTGTGAATTTGTCCTTTAGCCCAACCTATGGCTTGGAAATAATAATGCCCTATCTTTAAAATAACCTGCTAAAGGAAAATCTATACTGATATACATGGAGATGACTCTGAGTTTAAATTTCTTCTGTAACTGTGGTCCCAGGGCAGGTCTGGCGTGTATGGTGGAGACTGGGATGTGGGCACAGCATCCAGAGCTGAGGAACTGCTCACAGGCAGGAATCGCATGGAAGGAAGCATGACACAGGCCTGTCTCACCGCTCGGAGCACGGGTCATGTGACCTCTGGGTCGCAGCAGCAGCAGCGCACTGTCTGTGGCAACAGCCTGCACAAGCAGGAGGAGGTTCTGCCCGCTGCTCTGTGACTTTCAGTAGTCTCCAAATGTGTCATCCAAAAGCTAGACTGCCGAAACTTGTTCATTTTCTGAAAATAATAAAAACACAATTAACTGGCAGATCAGCATATTAATGAAGACCAACCAATAATTTAGTAATCTGCTTAGAAAATTAGTCAATTTCAACAATGAAATCCTCTCAAACATTGCATCAGGGCACAGACTTTATTGTAATGACATTCATGGTTTCTGATCACATTGAAGGTTGACAACAGACTGAAATTTCATAAATGGTTCTTAATCACTTTATTACCCTATTGCTTAAAAGTATAAAACTTCATCCACTTTTAATAAAGCAAACCATTTTTCAAACAGCTACAAAGTCAGTCAAAAGCTTTGCTAATAAGGGGAACTGTATCAACAGTATGATTTCAGGTAATCTAGCATTTGAAATGCAGTTTCAAGATTCCACGCATTAATGTAAAACACAACTCCACTAATGCCAAATTCTTCCTCTCAAAATTATCCTTTTAGACTGAGCTGCTGTTTTATCAGAGGTACTCTATTTGAGCCAGAAAGGTACTCGGCACACAGAAACAAGCAGCTTGCCCTTTTCATTGAAAAAACACGCCACCATATTTAGGAATTTATTTAACAGAGATTTAAGGCATTTAAAGAAACCATTAAGTAACTACCACAAAACACGAGAATAAAGACTGTTTACTGTGTTCAGCAATTCATTTAAGAGCCATCAAGGTAGTCTGTCCACATACCATCTGCTTCGCTCTCTGCGCCAGTCACATCTGCTAGTTTGGGATGGGACGGCTGCACACTCTGCCTTTGCGGCTGAGTCACAGTCTTCGAAGACACGCAGGCCACAGGGCTGCCACTGAGAGCAGCTGGCGGCAGTCTGGAGAGGCTGCCATGCATCATCTTTGACCTCTGCACTGCCACACTATAATCTGGAGGTTTTAGGTGCGGGTGGGGTCCTTCCTTCAGGTCCGCTAAAGAGATTCCCATGTATCCTGGAGGAGTGGGTGGTGGCTCCCTATACCTATCGTCCTTCTTGGGTGAGGTGACACAGTACACTGGCATAAAACATAAGTAATGGAAATGTTAATGAAAAACATAAGAAATGAAAAAAACATTGAAACTTATTACAATGACAAAATAGAACTTAAAAAAACAGACAAAATGAATAAATTTGAATGGCAGTAGATTAAAAACATTTTTAAAAGGCTTAATGAACTTAGTATTTATTTGAACCCGTTTTTAAAATGCATGAACTATATTAAAGTTTATAAACATTCAACATAACGAGAGAGAGTTGGGGAGATGACAGCGATGACGAGCTTCCTGCTATGGCTGAGTGCTCACGTCACACACAGGCCAACAACTCCTCAAGTGACACCAACCTGAGAGATGACTGAGTTGGAAACATGTAAAAGTTCACCCTAAATATCCATTTTCTATTAATTGAGAGAATTTGCTTAGAGATAATGTCTGGGCCATCTGTTGAAGGCTGTTTCACTCTGTCCCTGATACAGAAACAACTTAACTTTCCTGGTACAGAGGAACCAATTCCTTCAAGAATCTTACTTCTAACTTCTGCACTGTGATTAAGTAGGGAAGAAAAAAATCATAATTTTAGGAAATTCATCTCAAATTAAATTTCTCTGATTTTCAGTGAACATTAAAAATAATGGTTACTTTAAATCCTTTCCCCTAAATTTGTAAGCCCAAGGAAAAGCCACAAAAGGCATCAGAAACAGGTTAAAGAGGAAGTTCTGTGAAATTAAGACCAATCCACAGGACCCACAAAGCAAATAGCTCTGAATATCTTGATCATGCAAGAGACTTTTAAAACACAAAAAATGCCTATATACAAGCAGAATATATTTACAAAGACTATTAAATAATTCTAACACTCTTTCTTCCCATTAGAGAATTAAGTTTGTCTAGACTGAAATTTCTACAATTCTACCAGTAAAATTTGCATGTACTATTAAGGTCAGAAAGGATTTGCATTCCTGTATGAGGAGAGGTTGGAATGGGCAGCTGGTGGTGGAGAGGCTGTCAAAAGCAACACGACAAAAATGAAGAATGTAAGCGATCTGCCCAGAGTCACCCAGAAATGAAGGATTTAAAAAATCTATATTCCCAAATGGACAAGAGATTTTTATATCCTTGTACACACATTCTTATATATCCCTAAAGTGGTTACCTAAAGGGCTTTTTTTTTTCTGGAGACAGAGTCCTGCTCTGTGCCCTAGCCAGAGTGCAGTGGTGTCACCACAGCTCACTGCAACCTGCAACTCCTGGGCTCCTGTGATTTCGCACTTCAACCTCCCGAGTAGCTGGGAGAACAGGTGTGTGCCATGACATCTGGTTAATTTTCCTAGTTTTAGTAGAAACGGCGTCTTGCTCTTGCTCAGGCTGGTCTCTGGTCTAACTCCTCAGCTTAAGTGATCCTCCCGCCTCAGCCTCCCAGAGTGCTGGGACTGTAGGTGTGAGCCACTGCGCCTCGCCTCCTAAAAGGCTTTTTTTTTTTTTTTTTTTTGAGACAGAGTCTCGCTTTGTTGCCCAGGCTAGAGTGAGTGCCGTGGCGTCAGCCTAGCTCACAGCAACCTCAAACTCCTGGGCTCAAGTGATCCTTCTGCCTCAGCCTCCCGAGTAGCTGGGACTACAGGCATGCGCCACTATGCCCGGCTAAATTTTTTGTATATATATTATTTGGCCAATTAATTTCTTTCTATTTATAGTAGAGACGGGGTCTCGCTCTTGCTCAGGCTGGTTTCGAACTCCTGACCTTGAGCAATCCGCCCGCCTCGGCCTCCCAAGAGCTAGGATTACAGGCGTGAGCCACAGCGCCCGGCCTCAGGCTGGTTTTTGAACTCCTGACCTCGAGCAATCCGCCCGCCTCGGCCTCCCAGAGAGCTAGGATTACAGGCGTGAGCCACCGCGCCCGGCCTTCCTAAAAGGCTTTATCAACAACGACAACAACAGAAATCCTTGGAATAAATGAATGAGCTAAAAACCCAACATATTATGCAATATGACAAGTAGCTATAATATCAGCACATTTCTCTTTTGCATTTTTAGTGATTAAATGTGACATCATGAATATTCTTTAGAATTAGGAGTTGATTATGATAATAGTTATTCAAAATATGGTCATTCCACATAAGTAGAAAAGCAAGGACTATTATACCCAAGTATTTATACAATTCAGGGAAGAAATGGGGAAAAAAGAATTTGATGGCTAAATATTAAAAGAATACACTAAGAAAGCTTAGAATGGAATCGACAAACAGGAGTTGAGATTCTCAGGATGTGCGCCAGGAGGGAATACTGAAAAATGTTTTGGACTTCTTTACCATATTTTCCCTTACTTTTATTCCCTAAAATTAATAGTCTATTCAATGTTTCTGCCATGTATACACAGCAATTATCAAAGAAATTTACGAGGTGACAAAGATAAGAATCCCTTTATTACTACTGGATAGTAATGCAATGATATTCCTCAATGAAACGAAAAAGATCTTAAAAACAAAACAAACTTGTCCTTCTAACTGAAGATCTTCACATCAGACTTTTCATTTTAATGGCTTGAATTTCTGCTCTAAAGCCCTTGAGAAACCATGAATTTTGGGGAAATAATTTGTGGAAGGAGGGAGGAAAGAAAGGTTGGAAAGAACAAATTTTTGCAATAATAAAATCCAAGACATACAATGACATTTTTTTCACCACTTAATCTCTAAATGTCAAAGATATAACAAAAACATGTAACTTACCGATCAAACCCTTCTCAGTGCTAGAAGTGACAGTTTTGTATACTGGGTCAGTGGCATCCTTGAGGTCCAAGCCTTCAGACGACTCAGCCTGGGTGCTCTCCAGCACTCTCCGTCTCACTGTCCCATAGTTTGGTTCATACGTGTCAGACAGAGAACTGGACGAGGCCCAACTCTGTCTCAACGGATTAGTCTCTGGACTTGCTCTACACTGATCACAAGTTCTAGAGCTGCCCTGAGGACAGACATAAGGCTCACAGTCAGCGGGTTCAACTTCGGCAATAGGGTCATCCAAATGAGTATGTCTGTAAGAGTTCAAAAAATCCCAGCTTTTTGGGTTTGGAAGGCTTTGGAAGTTGTCATGGGAGCTGCTTGAACAGGAAGTCCAACTTCCACGGCCACTGTCAGCTGCTTCTATAATGATATGCTCATGAGAAATCTCTTCATTGCTCACCGAAGATGAGACAGCTAAACTCTTGATTAGAGATGGCTTTGAGAGTGTCCATCTAGAATTGGAGATAATACACAATTAAAAGTAATTTTCTGGCTTACTGTAAAAACTTTCTTCTGTTTTAAGTTATTGCTGCCTATAAGAAACTACAGAACATGTACCATAAATGTTCATGCCTGAATAATCTTGTGAAGAAAATGACACTACCATCAATCATCACCAAACTCCTCATTAGCATTAATGTTCATACTCAGCTAGACACTTACACTAAAGAAACTCAAATATTTAGCAAGGTTTCCTCAGAATTTGCCTTTTTAAAGAAGCATTTATGTGGTTTTTTTGACATAGGGTCTTGCTCTGCTGCTCAGGCTGGAGTGCAGTGGCTGTGCATGGGTGTGATCATTGCACACTCCAGCCTCCAACTCCTGGGCTCAAAAGTCATCTTCCTGCTTCAGCCTCAAGAACTAGGACTATAGCCACTGTGCACAGTAAAAATTTTTCTTGAATTGATTTTAAATGAAAATGCAAATGTGAGGTTTCAAATGAATAAAATTAAGTACACATTTTCATTTTTTTTTCTTTTTAAATTTTAAGCCAAATTTAGCAGTGGGGGGTTGTATACCAACTTCAGTGACACTAATGTTAATGAGTTCTTTTTTTTTTTTTTTGAGACAGAGTCTCATTCTGTTGCCCTGGCTAGAGTACTGTGGCGTCAGCCTAGTTCACAGCAACCTCAAACTCCTGGGCTCGAGCGATCCTCCTGCCTCAGCTTCCTGAGTAGCTGGGACTACAGGCATGCACCACCATGCCCTTCTAATTTTTTCTATATATTTCTAGTTGTCCAATTAATTTCTTTTTATTTTTAGTAGAAACGGGGTCTCTGTTGATAGCAGGTGCACTTTGGATTATTGACTGAGAAGATACATAATGATAGAAAGTTACTTGAATTTAATAACACTTTAAAAATGAGTTCCTATATATCTTTCAAAATAGTACTTATTTAAATATTCTGCATAGAGAATATACGCGTGCCCCTCATGTTCTTTTATGGATCCCCTTCCAACTACCCCACGGGGGTTCCAAGGTCCAGGTGGGGAGCATGGCTTTCAGCGGCCACTTGGCTTGAGTTTGTGATATGGACACAGATAAGGATCTTTACCCAGGGCCAAGCTGACCGTGGTCTCCCATCCCTGAGGAGTGCTCTGTCTTCTCTGATGCCCCGCTGGACTCAGGTGCTGCTGGAGCCTGGGAGGGGCACCGGTCATCCTGGAGAGCTGCAGACATGGAGTCCACAGAACAGTTGCTCACGATGCTGGACCGGGAAGAAATCTCGCTGTGGCTGGAGTCAGATAAGTTGTCAGATTTAGCTGATGGTGTAAGAGTATAACCTGAATGGGAAAAGAACACTGATCAAACTACAAAACAAGGGAACAGGTAGTAGAATAGTCAGGAAAATGACTTTAAAAACCCCAGAAAAATAACAAGACAAAAGTATTAGCAATCTCAGTTCCCATTTATATAGATATAATGGTGCCAATTTTCTCCATACATTCTTCTACATATCCATTCACCTAACCTACCCATACCATGCCAATCCAACTCCAAAAAAAAAAAAAAAAAAAAAAAAAGATAGTCAAGATCCAGTATTACTGAGAGAATTAGTCTAAAGGTATATTTGCCCCCAGGCTATTGTACAGCTAACAACATTTAATAAAACAAGAAGGCCCTAAATACACCGTAGACATTAGAAAGTAGACGTCTAAGAATTTCTCAACTTCTTTTTAACTTTATGCCCACCCTTCTTTGATTAGCATAAATATTTTATATGTGACCCGAATCCAACATACCACCTTCAGGTAGGGGTGGGGATGGGATTCAGGATTCAAGGGAAAGAGCTGTGTATTTGCTTTTTCAAGCTACATATACTTACCCGATATTCTGCTTATGTCACCTAAAAAGTTGAGAGAGATAGTTTTGTGGTTTTTTTTTTTTTTTTTTTTTGAGACAGGGTCTCAGCTCTGTTGCCCAGGCTGGGGTGCAGTGGCAGGATCATAGCTCACTGCAGCCTTGATCTCCGAGCCTCAAGCGATCCTTGTGCCTCAGCCTCCCAAAGTGCTAGGATACAGGCATAAGCCACTGTGCCTCTGTTTTAGTATTTTAAAATAAATTATTTTCAATTTGGACTTAATCTTATATCCACTTTCCTTTTTCCTCATCCACTTTGAAGAATATTAAATAGCTGAACTGACAGATGTTTAAGAATGTGTTATGAAAAACAACATCTACATGGTTTAAATTGTTCTATGACTTACTGCATAGCAGATTGCTAGAGAGATTTTATTCTGTATTCTTTGGCATAAAGGGGCAAGGATGGAGTGAGGTGAAGGATCCAAAAATAAATGTGCGGCATGATAATCCAAACAAGTGGTAGGTCTCAAAGAAGAAAACAGAATCTTCTTGTTCACGGAAGAGTAAGGTTCAATAGGTACATGACCTCTGGACCAATCTCTAGAAATCTCATTAAGAAGAACTAAGGGCTTTGTATATGTTACTGGAATTCTCGGGGCCTCAGCCTCCTCATGTATGAAGAGGAAGATAACAGTCTAAGCTTCTCTGCTTTAAGGACCTTGGGAGTTTAATCATAATATAACTCAAGTCATTAAAGAAAATGTTTATTGTACAATAGCCTTAAATTGGTTTTACTAACTATTTCAAAGAGAAAAAGAAAGACCCAGAATATGTGTGATTTATACTTGGCTTAAGGGGCCAGGAACAGGGTGAGGCAACCAAGCCACTCTCCTGACTTCTATCACACATCGCTGAACTTGAAATAACTGCTATTCATGAGTGCCCATGAGCTGATTAGTCAACACTCAAGAGGGACCAAGAAAATGGATATGGTAAATATAGTATAAATAAATCAATAAATAACCTTCCTCTTCAAAAGAAAAAAAATCATTGTTCTTTTATTTCATGGAATAGACTTGCTTCTGTTTTAAAAATAACTTAATCCTTAGTGTCTCTCAGATCAGTATTTCTCAAATATAATCTAAGAATCACCTGGCAAATTAAAATGTACATTCCTGGTCCCACTTCCAGCAATTCAAAATTATAAGGTCTAGGGTGGGACCCGGCAACTGCATTTTTTAACAAGTTTCCCAGATAATATTTAACCAGCTATGTCAGACTGGCTTCCTCGTCAATCAAAGATATGTGAAAAGTGAATGATATAAAAAGCGTATGTGGACAAGGTTCGGTTTCTTGTCTCCCAAACACTTCTATTTCCTTTAGCTTATAAAACAGTTGAAGTACTAAGATAGCAATAAAATTATCTGAAGTGAAGGTTCTGATCAGATCATTATCGGGGCTTTTATGGTGAAAGTGAACGCTGGTTGCTCAATAACTTCCTCTACTTACTTCACTCAGAGACCCAACTGCTATGAGCAGGAAATAAAGCAAACTACAGAAAATAGGAGTATAAAGTTTACTAACTCAATACATTAGTAAAATAACATATGTACAAATAAGGTACTTTAAATCAATATGACTTTGTTGCTAGAGGATCTATAATATTAAACATAAAATGCTTATAAATAGTATTTTACTAAGTTGTCTGCCTTAGCTTTGACAAATGGCTTAATTTAAGCTACATTTACATTAATAACTAAAAACAAACTTAACACTAAAATTAAATAAAAAACTTCATCAGAGTGTCTTCCTCCTTTTAGACTTGAATCGCGTACAGAAGCAGTTTAAAGCGTTACTGTTGCCTTGGCTATTTGAATTGAAGATGGCATTCCCTTTCTCATCTTTGATGTTGCTTCCAACATCCTTCTCTTTCTCACAGCTTTCTGTAGCTTGATTGTGATCTGAGTCCTCTTTTTTGCTGTTGACTAGTCTCTCCCTTGAAAGAGTTCTTTCCCTAAATCTTCTAAACGGGGATGTCATTCTTTTTCTGGTTGTGTTCTCACAACTTGGCCTGTCTCTAGTCTCCTCAGTGGCCTTCTCGGTCCTGTCTGTTCTTTTGGCTGTGCTCCTGGTAATCTGAAGGATTTTCTTTTGCAAGTAAACCCCACCTATTCCGGGGCAGCTCTGGCCACTGATCTTGGTGCTGGACTCACGGGGAGGGGATGAGGAAGACCCTGAGAGGCGCAGCAGGATGCTGTGATCAGATATGATACTGCCAACTGGAGGGAGAAATGCAAAAACCCTGACATGGTCACTTAATTCTTTCCAGTTAATCACAATTAGCCTGGTTTATATAACATTTCACTATTAAAAAATTCTAACATCTCGATAATATCTGAAAAATTATAATCTAGCAACATATTTTTTAATGCACCGAAAATCTACCATATAGTATAACCACATCAAGTCACTGCAAGACAGAAGGCAGGAGAAAGATTACCTTGATAAAAGAAGTTGGTGATAAAAAATTATTGAAAGTAAGCCAGGCTGGTAAAATCATAAGGAAAAATATGACAAGAATATCAGGTAACCAGAATTATTTCTCAAAAGTAATTCTGTATGTTTAGAATTTTAAGGCAGATTTTTATTAAAAAAAGAAAAGCTTAGTAAAATATAATAGGACATACAAATAATATATATGATAGGTATAAAAATAAATAATTTCTGATCCTGTTGTACTTCCAAGGTGGAGAGGCTGCTTTTCTTAAACATTGGGGAAGATAATGCTTAAGGTCTCTTGACTTCTTGCTTTTTAAAAGTTCTTATTTAAATTCTCCTTGTGAAAAATATGAAGATAGGCTTATTTTCTTAATCATTAGAAAACAAAGAACTAATTCCAAAGTTAAACAAGAACTAGGAACAGATATTAATAACATACTCTTAAGTGTAATGATAAAATTTTTGTTTAATCACAAACTACTGCCAAAAACCCGTCTATGGGAATAGAAACATCATATCTGGTTGAGGATTTGACAGAACATATGCAAGAACAATTTGAAACGGTTTTGAAGAGAAGAATATCTTTAGGCTTCTAAGGATTCTAAACATTACTATAAGGAGCTCACAAATCTATAAAACATGATGGTCAACTGTTGGCTACACAATGAAGGACACAATGGAGAAAAGACTTCTCTATTCTAGTGACGAGTGTGAATTTTCCGTTGGGAATAAGAGCAATGGCGGATTTCCTGTCCTTAATACCTCTTCCCACAAAAGTCACATTCCGGTATAAAACACCAAATCAGATCCAACTAGTTGCCTCGTTAGAGAATTGTCTATGATGGGATGAACCTCTGAGCAGCCTCCCAAAGGGGTGAGGACTATAACGCTCTTCCCGGAAGAGCGTTAGGAGCACATAGACACTGTTCATTCGGACCGTCTGTCTGACAGAGGCACTGCCGCCTGTCCCAGAGCTGACGGAGGGCACTTTGGACAGGACTGTACAGACAAGTAAAATTACATATGAGCTACAAAATGATCAGAAACCTGTTCTTTATTTAAATACTTCTACAATATATACTATTTATATGTCCTATTTGATTTTTATTCAGCTTTTCTTAGTAAAATCTGAATGAAAATTTTACCCAGTCTCAGCTAAGTAAGGATGAAAAGGGCAGGTGAGTAATGGAGCTGTGGTGCCCTGGGGTGGCAGCAGGGAAACAGAAGAGACACTCTAATTTATACTCAACAACTTACCATGTATCACGCTTTATAAATATTATTTCATTTAAACTTTATATGAAACTCCTAAAATAGATGGTCCTTTAAAAAAAATGATTCACTGATTTATTTCTTTTAGAGACAGGATCTTGGTTGGCTCTATTGCCTAGGCTTGACTGCAGTGGTGTGACCACAGCTCACTGCAGCCTTGAACTCCTTTGCTCAAGCAATCCTCTCACCTCAGTCTCCTGAGTAGCTAGGATTATAGGCACATGCCACCATGGCCAGCTAATTTTAAAAAATTTTTTGTAGAAAATAGGGTCTCATGCTATGTTGCCAAGGCTGGCCTTGAACTCCTCGCCTTAAGTGATCCTCCTGCCTCAGCCTCCCAAAGTGCTGGGATTACAGGTGTAAGCCACCATGCCTGACCCTGGATGTTGTTTTTTTTTTACCTCTTGTAGAGAGGAAACCTGACCTTGTAAATATATTACTTGTAGTCACACAGCTACAGCAGGGCATAGAATCAGGATTCAAACTCAGGTTTACCATCACTGTGTGTCACTGCCACATAGGTGGAAAAACAAAAAAGAGCCCTGCAGAGTGGGATGAAAGTCAGAACATGGGGGTTGAAGCCAGCTATGGAAGCTTCTTTCTCCTCTTAACCACTTCGGTATGGCGCTCACTGGCTGTGAAACCTTGACCACAGCCAGCACTCATAGTCCACACGGTTGTCTGTGCTGTGCATTAACGATGAATCCGTTTTGCTCTTGTGTGATGAAGAAAGCTTTAAAGCACTGAAAGCTTGTTTTACTTTACAGGCAGCTTTACTTGTAATGTAAATCAGAATAGGTAACATAGCCATATATGTTTTTATTACGTTATTTTTAAATGTTCACGATTTAATTTTGATAAATGAAAAATTAGAAAAGTCATATCACAGTTGTCAGCTAAAGTCGCTGTGCGCGTTCATCCGTGGCTGTTGACTATAGTCGACACTCGTACCGAAGTGGTTAAAATTCACAAGCTTGTCTCTCTCTGACCACGTACCATCCTGTGCTGTGATTATTTAAAGATGTAATTCTTTTGCACCTGTGCAGATGCTCCCAAGACAAAGTAGCCATTTCCCCCAGGGGTACACAGGGCGCGTGGAGGGGCCAATGTAAAAAATACACACCCTATTTAGAATGCTGCATGTGCAGCTGACGTCAAATGGCATCTACATGCACACTTCCCAGGCTAGCCAGGAAAAGAAAAGCTTCAGTCTGAATTATGAAAACATATATCCTTAAGGGTATAGGTTATTTTAAATCCTGATTAATAAAAAGTTAATGCTCTATTACTAAAAAAAGGGAAGCATCAACCTACATATGTCTGTTTTCCTAAATCTTATAGTTGGTTAAAAAGAATTTCTTACAGAAATTTTTATTTGCACACACTCCACAGAAATGTACAAATGTAGGAAGTATGAATAACAGCATCAAGAATGTGCACCAAAACAACTGTGACTTCTGCCTTCACCCTTATATATGTTTGCCCTTTGTCACAGACAGGAAGGACTGCACATGGAATACAGGAGTCCCAGTGACATGATGCATAATATCTGGAAAGCAAATGAACGATATAGAACATGAAAGTTCAAAATGCAAGCATTAGGAGTTACATTTTTCTTAATGCTTTCTATTATTGCTACAGACTGAAGGGTAAGTATGTGCTAAAAAGTGTATTAGCCTAACAAGAACTAGCTTGAAATATTCTGTCTTACCTTTCCGAGGGGAACCTTGAGGAGACGCAGGAGGACTAGAATGTAAGGATAAGGCCACTGAAATAGTGTCTTCCGTATGTTTCTTACCACTTATTTCTTCAGTTGTCCCTAAAACTTTCTGAGGTAAACTTGTACCTAAAAATAAAACCAAAGATGCAGATAAACATCATTGCACAATTAGAACGTCTAGTTGCCTCAATCACTACATAACTAAGGCTATGATGCACGATGGCTAGTGCAGTCAACTGAAACGTGCCAATGACAAACAGGGACTAAATGACTGGGTGATGGCATACAGAGATTCTCACCTCTAGGTTATTCATTCAAATTCAGCTGGTCAGCACGGACCAGGTTATAAATAGATAAATAGTTTGTCTGTTTTGTGGTAAAAGGGAAATCAATTTAACAGTCTGAGCACAGTGCCCCACCCCCCCACAATTGAGGCACTTGTTTGAATCTTAACAGAGACACGGATCCGAACTCTCCCTTCCCCTCTAGAGGTGGCCTCTCCAGGTGAGGGTGAGGCGTGTGGCGGTGCAGTGTGGGGATGTTGCACTGTCACTACCTGTGCTGCATCTGTGCTGGGCACACAGAAGAGATGCAGGGCTGCCAGTCCAGCCCTTTTCAAGAGCACTAAATTCACACTACAGGAGAGAAGTAAACAACAGAAAGAATCATGAATTTATAGAAAAATATTATGGAGCCCACTGGAAACATTCCTGCAAAGTTCTATCATTTACCCTTGTCCAATGGCTGGTTTGGTTAGTGCAGGTCTAACTTAGTGATGTTTTCTACATACTAATGTTTTTACATCTTTTCTAAGAAGTGTCAAAGAGCTATCGACACTGTTCTTAACAATTAAAGCACGACTTTGTGAGGATTTGGCATAGTAACAAGCAAGCTTTTAATAATGAAAAAATTTAAATCACAGTATACTCACACTACCTTTCATTAAATGCCTTTTATATGTAAATATAGTTATATAAATAATGGTCATATTTCAACGAGAGAGAAGAAAGCTACCTGGTACAATACTGGCTTCTCAACTGGTAACACCCAAGTAAGAAATCTGAGCTAAACTTGTCTCCCATGCCTATCAACCAATTTATCAACTTTGCCAATTGTGCATCCAATTCTCTCTTCATTTCCATAGTCACTAACCTAGTCCAGGTCCGGAGCAATTTCCAATAAACTGCTACATCAGCTTTCCATCTGGGCTCTCTATCTCCAGTCTTGCTGTGCTCCCCACTCTAGTCCTTATTCTCAAACTTAATTTGAATCATAAGCTTCCCTTGTTCAAATCTACTCCATGGCCTTCCACTGATGACTTTCCTTTGGCACGCATGTCATAATTTTGGCATACTTATGACTTCATTTTTCTTCCTGGAAGGCTGTTTAGTGCAGTGGTTAGTACAAGGCTTTCAGAACCAGTGAGGCTGGGCTCAACCACCTACTTATAGTGTGTGTTACTGAGACTCTCTGTTTCCTTTGTAGAATGAGGGTAAAATACTACCTCTCTTGTAGGATCATTATGAAGACTAAATTAATATATAAAGTTAGTAAAGCACTTTGAATTGGGTCTAGCACTCAGTAAGCACTCTCTAGGCATTAGCTTTAATTATTATTGTCTGTCAACACTCTGCATATGTTTGCACTCAGAGTCAGCAAAATACTAATTTTAGTTCTTTGCTGTTTCTTCTGCCTGAAGCAACTTCTCTGGAGCCTTTGCCTAATTATCTCCTCCTCCATCAACCTAAGATTTGCTTAGTTAGGTGTTATTTCCAAAAAACTTTCTTCTGAAGGACCGCCTTACCTCTGCCTAGCTAAAAGATTCTCTTGTGTTGTTCTTTAAGATGTTCTGTATAGACTCCTGGCATAACAATGAACACATTATACTGAAGTTATACAGTTGTGTGAGTGTATCACGAGATTGAAAATGTGGCAAAGTAGGGGGCATTTTTTATCCAGCTTTGTATCTCAAATGAAATCAAATTAAATTCACAAAGCTCTACTGCATATGTACTATGTATAATGCATGGCCTAAGACATAATGCTAAGAATCAAATCTAATCTAGCTTCCCATTTAAAAGCTAAAATAGTGATACCATCAAAACAAAAAATAAAAGTAATATGGATAATGCTTACATGGCCTAACAGGGAAAAAAAAGTGTGGTCTATACTTTATATACTTTATAGTCTACTCTTGTTTCCTAACTAGGTTTTCAGAAGTGGTCATTAATGAAAAAAATAATGTATAGTCATTTTTTAGAATAAGCAACTTCATTTGCATATTTTTAGGTTGCATCTGCATTAGGTATTTGATTAAATATACCTTTGAATGCAGTGAGCGCTTGGGACCCGAGATATATTGCTCTAAATTTCTTGTTTATCAACAGATTTAAGCATTATAGGAATTCCAATGTCAGCATTTAAAACATGCATGCTGTCATCAAATACCTATAGGCAAAATGAAACATGTTTTGATGCATGAAGTGATTATATTACACAACCTACAACAGCTGATCTCCTGATCATCTATCATTATTTTTCATTCTAACTCCCCTGGAAATTTCAGGTAAATGAATGTAACATTAATTGTGAATACTCACTCAACACAGGGTCTTTTGCTTGTCCCCTCTTCCTGACGGGGTGTAAGTTAACAGCCGGCACTGGAAGCACCTGGCTTGCTCTGTGGGGCTGGTGCAAGTGGGCTTTTGCCACTTGGCCAGAGGACCTTGTGGGCACTGGAGACATTTCAGATGCTTTGGCTGACCTCTTCTCATTTAAATTCTTGGTCACTAATAGGAGAGAGTAAGAAATACGGAACTACTTTTTAAGGCAAGGTTATTACTCTTGACAATAATAAAGGGTCACTTTAAAATCACCTATTTTTAGCACAAAAAATTAAATAGATTAATTTTCTTAACAGAAATTTCATTTAAGTAGGACAATAAAATGTTATGTCCAAAATTGTCATATGATTGTTAATTTCATTTCCTAAATAATTCTTGAATTCATTAACTCAATTAGCTCCCTCTCCATCATCACTGCTTAAAGTCAAGTTAACATTCTCTCATCCGTACTATCGAAACACTTCTCTCCACCTACCAGCAGAGGGACTCTTCCAAAATGACTATCTGACCACATCACTTTCCCTTTCGACACGCCTTGCACAAACCTTTAGATGACTTGCCCCAGCTCTTGGGAAAAAGATCCGAATCCCTAAAACAAGGCCTATAGGCCTGGCATGACTTAGCATCAGCCTGTCCCCTTGAACCATGCACCTGTCCTCTCGCCAATCTCATACTCTAGGTTTCTATTAAATCGGCCTTTGTTCCATTCGCTATGACAGAGAGCTTCCTTTCATTTTCAGATGAACTTCGTCACAGACTTCAGGGAACCCTTCCCTAATACCTACATACCACAGTGACTAGATTGGATTCTGTTTTATGTTCTCATGGCGTCCTGCCCCTGTCCTTCACAGCTGTGATGACAAGTTTTAACAACACAATTAACTGTGTGATTAATCAGTTATGTCTGTTTCTCTCCTTAGGCCATAACTAACTTGAGGGTAAGGACTATGTATCCTGTTCACCACTATGACCTTGTATGCCAGTGACTGACTGGAATCAGATGCTCAACAGGTATTTGCTGAATAAGTGAAATTATTAATACTTCAATAGCTATAGATAGGAATACCAGAGACAGTGTTTTGTAAGTCCATGGTTAGAATATTTGAAAATGAATTTCAGAATTAAAAACTGAGAACCCTGACTTAAGAAATAAAAATCTGCTCCCCGCCCCCATAAAAACAACACTGTAGCCCAGAGGAAAGACATTCTTCCCGCAGGTAGTACTTTCAATCCCTTGGTTATTTAGGGTGGTTTCAATGCAGATGCAGCCTCACTGCTTCAATGATATATTTGTTTTAAACACCAAGATGAAAGCTAAAATAGATATTTAACCTGTCTCAGCACAGTTCTAACAGCTAGCTAGTATGCTTATACTTTTATGAGAGCCTAGAGAATATTTTGGGTGATAAGAATCAGAGAACATCTCAGAAAGTCAAAAAGTAAGAACCACTGGGGCCAATATGCAGTGGCTCATCACCTAACTGAATCCAAGACATCATCACCTTTGGTTAGAGCCATGAAACACACTTTCCCCCTTCTCTCAATACTAACCAATTCTCGACTTCACTGACATCTTATTCTAACAACTGCTATAGTACAAAGGAAAAACAACCAAGAGGCTACTTGAAATACAAAGAAAGAGTTCACGGATGAATGCTAAAAATCACATATATACTGATTAATTAGGAAGAACCAAATTCTATAATGCTCAGAAATCAACTATTTTTTAGGCTTGGGATAATGACTATTTAACATTTAAAAATCAATCATGTAATGGAAATTTTATTAAATAAAGACTCTCAAACCAAGTTAAAGGAATATGCATTGAACTAAATTTTCAAATCCAGTTTAAAAAAGGCTCACAGGTTTTCTCATTTCAAATCACTACTAAATATGTGACATAGGACACAGTGTTATGAGAAAAGACAGTTGACTGTCTTTTCTACAGCTGGCTCATGCCTGTAATCCTAGCACACTGGGAGGCCAAGGCAGGAGGACTGCTTGAGGTCAGGAGTTCGAGACCAGTCTGAGTAAGAGTGAGATGCTGTCTCTATAAAAAAATAGAAAAAATTAGCCAGGCATGGTATCTCACATCTGTAGTCCCAGCTAATCAGGAGGCCGAGGCAAGAGAACTCTTTGAGCCCAGGAGTTTGAGGCTGCAGTGAGCTATGATGATGCCACTGCACCTTAGCTGGGGCGACAGAGCCAGACACTTGTGGGGGGGGGGAACAAATTTAGGGTGGCTGTAGGAAGAGTGCTGCAGGCTATGATTCACAACCACAAAATGATTAATTCTATATTGAGTTACTTGGAAAAAAATAACTTTCATGATAATTCAAAGCAGGGTCACAAGGCTTTAATAAATCACATATGTACATGGCTTCAAACTTTAAAGCATGAATACACATTAAAGGTTCTATATACGCTTTCAGTCTTTACCTTGGACATGTACCGTTTTCACACAGCTGACACTATTCTTAATGTCTCATGTTGGTAAGAAATTTTCCCATATACCTTCTAATTCTATATACATTTATTATTTTTAATGGCCATCATTGCTTATATTGATAAGGAAATAGTTGTAATTAACTATTCTCTAGCACTGTAATATCTGAGTAGTTTTTCACTGTACTACATATTGCAACATCTTCATATAAGCACATTTTTGGGGTGCACTGTCTCAGTAGAATACAATCCCAAACTGGACACCTCAGAGGTTGCTGTGAGGAGTAAATGGCAATGTTTACAAAGTGCTTACAATGGTTGCTGCCATGTAGAAAGCGCTAAATAATTGTTAGCTTTTATTATTTCATTCCCCAAATTTAATAGGTTTGCTGCAAGAAAAAAAAAAAAATCACAGAGATAAAATGTACTCCCAACTCTTGCCAAAGTTTTACATTTGTGAAAACAGAGACCTGAGATAAAGAGAACCCTGCTCAAAGGGTAATAAATGAGACTCAAAGTCTGCCTGCATCCTTTAGTAGCTATTCTTTCATCACACTCCACTTCCTTTCCTATGGGTAGAAATATTCAAGAGACTCTGTTTCAATTACAGCATTTGTTGAATGGCTCCTTACTCTGTATGTTAAAATTTATTGTCATATCTGAATTTTTGAAAATCAGTATTTGGTTCTATTTCCACTTTCTCTTTTCTAGTATGTTGACATAATTTTTCTATTACTATGAAAATACCACATCATTTACCAATTTTAGGATCAATCCATGATGACTATCATTTCTGTCAATTAGGAATCAGAAATAGAATTTTATTGCCATTTTTACGGGCATAACATCTAGTGTATAATTTAACATAAGAATAATCATTTTCTTTTTCTTGGTTACAACAGTGTATATTTCACCATCTTTGATTTCTGCTCTTACAATTCCTTGATAAAAGGCAAATGCTTCTGCTGCTCATACTTAATTAAAAAATATCAGTATTTGGAATAGGATCTCTTTTATCAACATACTTTCTACAGATTAACAGTACTGGCACCTATGAGCCTCCTATTATCTCTAGTGTTTTAATCAAATTTCTTATATTATCTGTGAAATAAAAAAGGTAAAAATTCCACTTACGTTTATCCTTCATTTAGGGAGGACCATAAAAATGTTCATAGCCAGCAAGTTCCTCTACAATGTTCTAATTTTTACATGACAAAAGGCTTTACAAAACTTCTAAAAGAACTATTTATCCCTGTATTTTTTGCATAGGGTAAACCAACAGGAATGGATGGAACTCAGTATCTAATTAATAGGATCACATGATGCTTGCGGTATGTCAGTAATCTTTTGTGAATGAAAGTTAATAATTTTTTGGGACTCCAGCATAACTCTAGAAAAATAAGTTTCTATTCTGTTGTGCTCTGCAGTGTCACATAAATGAAACCGTGTACTCACAGGTACCATATGCAGGCTCCCACTGTAGTGACATCAGCTGGAACTTCTCTTCATCTGTCTCTACATCCAGACTGGAAAGATACTGCTTTACTTTCCTTGCCATCTGGGCATCTTCATACAGCTTCTTTGCGTTGAGCAGAGAGCTGCGGCGCGCCCTTTTTTTGTGAGCACCTCCCTGAACATCCAGCATGTTTGAATTTGTGCTGCCTTGACTCAGTGACCTGTAAGAAGATGGAGATAAGGGGCTATAAACATGAGAACTAAGTGCGGCAGACTGAAGACTGAAAGATTTTTTTCTGTTAATGCTATTGCATGCTTATGTAAATGAGTTAAAAGATGAGGAGCATTAATGCAAAGTTATCTGGTACACATGGTGATGTTCTGAATTAAGATCAAGCTTTCATAAAGTACAGAACTACAAAGAATAAGATAACAATTCCCCTTGAATGACATATTCCATCAGACCTGTGCTGGTGACTATGCAACCCGTGATGTAACTGTGACAAGAAAAAGGATTCCTCTGGCCCTGGAGGGCATCTACACTCTGAAGATATGGCAAGAGCCTGGGTCAGGACAAGTCCAGCCTCAGTCAGATCTCTACACCAGGGTTCTTCAGCAGTGAAGTTTCTAGAGCAGTGCTGCTTGTATGTGCTGCTCTGCACATGCTTTGCCATCACCATACCTGTCTACAGCAGGCCCACTCTGAACACATTGACCATTTTACCAGTAACCATATTTTGGTCAAAATTCAAAGAGACGAATAATATATTAGCTGAAAATTAATAGCATTTATATTCAAACCAGTACAGTCAGAAATCAGAAATGCAGTAAAAAAGCTAATCAAGGTTTCTACTCACATATGAAATGGTTAGATAATATTTGGGTGTTAGAACTGAGGATCTGGGATCTTAATTTTGCAAACCCTCTAAATGTGATAGAATTGCAGGCCTGTGTAGAAATAACTGTAATTCAAATAAGCTACAACTTCACTCAACTCTCCTCTTCTTGGCAAACCTCCTACGATGACCACATCTAGAACCAATGGTAAACAGCAATTGCAATGATGTTTGTTCTTTCTTACAAGAGTAGCAACGACAAGGTTCTTAGATGATTTTTACTTTGAAAGCAGTTGCCATTCCAATATATTAATAATAAGGTTATCTATGGATGTTCTACATTAGCCTGTTTTTAAAAAATATTCTAAATACATAGACGCTAGTGCTCACATGCCCAGTTTAAAACAGACACTAAAATCCATTGGAAGTTAAGTGAGACATAGTTGAAAAAGTGTTAAATTTTTTTTCTTTCCCATTTTCAGATCTTTGAAATAAGAGCATGTCTTATACTTGATGGCAACTTTCAACTGCTATTGGTCAGGCAGAAACTGTGACATGATTGTCATTATTACACATGCAGAAACCTCAAAACCTGCAGAATGACTCTGAAGAAAATTCAATGACTTTAATGAACTACCCTTTTAACCAACCTCCAGGGACCAAATGATTACAAGAAGGAAGTGAATCTGACAAGTTCAACAACATTCTCACAGCAGGTGATGAAAGGAAGCTAGCTCTAGTTATTTGCAAAGCCAGCCTAAGAGCCCAGCTCCAGCAGCTTTTAGTTCTTTTATGACTTGTTTTAAGAAATGCTGCCTCACAAACACACTGAATGGCACAGAGAGCAACACTGTGTCTGGGGGGGAGGGGGAACAAACCCAGAGACCAATGACTCTAAATGATTCAGAAGATTCTTATTTTGAATATGAAGAAATTTTATTGGTTACAATGTATATCTTTATCTCTAAAAAAAAATTAAAAATGAGAAATATAGAAAATTTTAAAAAATTAAAATCAAAGAAAAAAAAATTTTAGAGAGACTTAAACCAATTTACTTTGCTTATATATTCCTTTTTATGTATGCACAAGGGTGTTATGTGCTAAAAACCCATTCTTAAGTCTGTAAGAACTCTTTCAATAAGAATAAAGTAAAAATTCTCAGTGGTAACAAGACACTGCAGTGATTTTTCTTAGTGGTACATAAAATAATGGTGCACCCAACAACTGATGATATCTTGAATTCAAAGAAATGCAGTAAAATTAAGTCCCAATATTTAGGAGAAAATTTTAATACAAATATTTAATAATTTTATGTTAGCTGATATCCAAAAAAGAGGGAACAGTAGGTATTACAAATCTAGGACAGATGCAAAACTCTAATAAATGAAAACATGTGATAGATGACAGTAAAATATTTTTGAAACTTCTTCCAAAACAGGAAATATCCTAATGTAAATAAAAACACCTAATGTTTGCAAGCATCATACAATGCAACCCCATAGCTCAATAAACAGTGAATGTGTTAACATAAGTAAGTCATTCAATCACTTCAAATACTCACTAAGACATACTGTTCAAGTATTCTTCTTTAGGATAGTTGTACCAGGTTTTTTTTTTTTTTTTTTTTATTTTCTTTGTGAACATCCAGGGGATGTACCAGGTATTAATTTCTATTTTCAGTGAGAAGAACCACAAAAGATCAAGACATAAATGTATGATATAGAAGAAAATACATGAGAAACACATAGAGAAGGGAGGAATAAAGTAGAAGGAAAGTCAAGTTCACCAAGCTTAACAGAAAACAAGACCACAAGTGAGACGAGACTGAAGTAAAGGAGGTGGCTCAGGGCAAAATTCTTCCTGAATGTAATGAAAGCATCTAACTTCATGGTTTACTACATTCTTAAAATAACAAAATTCTTCTTATGCAATCCCTTCATCCACAAAAGCCATCTCCTTCACCTAAAAATGAAAGGACTAAGTAGATGATTTATAAGATCCTTAACATTCCATGGTTCTTAACAGATATCCAGTGATGTAGAAGCAGAGACCTGAATCTATTTTAACAAAAACGGTGGCAGTTTCTGATTCTATCACAATTTTAAAAAGAGATAAGGGCATTTTTAATTAAAGCTGGTAGAAAATTTAAAATAAAATTCAAGCAATGCTGAAAAGTCTCATGGCATTAGTGGACCAGAGGAATTAAAATTATTTTCTAGTTAAACTGCAAATTTTATAAACAGACTTCTCATCCATTTTCATACATTTAGATAACACGTTGACTTTTAAAAAATGTGGATTTCCATAAAATAGTGTAGACTTTAGAGTCAGACTACCTAGGTTTAGAGATTCACCATTAATGAGCTGTAAAACACTGGGCAACTCCACCTTACCCATCTGTACCCTGGGAGTAAAGGTATCTACTCACAGGGTGGTAGGAGAATTAAATAAGATAATTCATTTAGAGTGCTTAGAACAGCACATAGCAAGCGCAAAACATATATTCACTATCATGATCATCATCTGATCCTGCTAAATTAAAATCAAAAAAGGACTTACAGAATGTCAATAATGGAAAAGTGAAAAAAAAAAAAAAAAGCTTGTTCTATCACTACTTTCACCTTGTTAGCAAAAGGTATTTGTCAGGAATGTAGGTTGACAGGGTTAATAGAATGCATGCTATTTTATGTGCGTGCTTAATGAAAAGGATGCAGTATATGTTAAGAGTTGTACAACCTTCATTCCAGTTGCATTCATCTCTACACTTACCCCAGACTCCGCCACCTCTTCTTCCTGTAAGCAAGAGCCACAAACATTGAAGCATGTATTTGAATAGGAAAGCACAGAAAAAAGACAATAGTTGAGAGTCAGAGAAACTATGCAGACAGAACAGAAAAACTTTACTAGAAAAAAATTGTAGCTTAACAGTAAAATGACTTTAATGGAATGCAGGAGGCTAAGATAAGTTATGGTATGTACGGAAGGCAAAAAAAAATTCCGAAATATTTTTTAAAAATATGCTTTAAGCCAATTGTATTTTTAATATCAAATTTCATATAGAAGCTTATGTTAATAAGCTTAAGGAAAAACATTTTCTTACTATAAATTTTTAATTCAGAGTTGTTAGGGGAAAAAAAAGGAACAGAATTTGAGCCACTGATTTAAATGATAGTACGAAATAACAAGGAACATAAAGATGTATACTTCATTTTTAAGTGCAGAGATTTCTCTGACAATGTGTTTTATATGAGAAACCTTGACCAGCAAATTCAACTGCAAATGTATGTAAAAATATATCATTAAAATCTTTATAATACAATGTATCTGTAAACTACTGTATGACTGAATGAAGATTCTGTTTTTTAGTCAACAAATTACTATTAAAACAAAAGGGGTTACTTTATCCACACAGGATAATTACACACCAAAAAAATGGACAATTACTTGCTTAAAGAAAGATATGACATTTCATGATTGGCTGACAAAATGGATTCAGGAAAAATTCAGCCCAATCTATACATAAATGTTTATTTTCCCTCTTATCTTATTCTACTCAACCCTGGCTATTCCCAAGAAAACAGTCAGGTTTATAAGTTTCTTCATCACTTTTTCTCTTTTGCTCATTTCTGAAGTATGGCTAGTACTCAGTTTATTATCAACTGGTGTGGCAGGGTTACAAATTCATTATGTCTTCAGGGACCATGAAATTAACATCTATAAGTAAATGGAGGTCCATGTAAGATAACATGGAGTGGCAAGGCCACTGTACAAAAACATGAAAACAAAAACAAACCAACCAACCCTCGTCCTCCAGGTTTGCTGTGGTCCCTCCTCCTCACTGTTTCCTGCCTCCATGCTGTGCAGTGACACCCTCGTCACATGCAGTGATGCTCAAGGGGCACAAGGAGGGCGGGTGGGGAAGAGGAGACTGAGCATAGCCCTTTCTCCATACTGTGAGGATCTCTCAACTAGAGTAACCATCAGATCAACTAGTCATAAACAACAAAGACTCCTGAACATGGATTTAAGCAAAATAAAAAAAAACAAAAAACAATCTTGATACACACTAGTTCTATTTGGTTATAATCTCCAACTCTGGTTTTCAAAGTGCCAAGTATTTTTGTTTTCTTATCAGAGTATACATTTTTAAACCATAGGAATTGTGTCTGTGTCTGCAAATTATTTCATTTTTAATGCCCTTATGGAGTAAAGATTAAAAAAATTAAAAAAAAAATTTAAACCACCCTGAAAATTATAAAAATTCTGGGAAAAGCTTAACAACATGCTTTCTATAAATTTTAGATAACTTGAAAAAGCCTTTGTTGTTACATTAAAAATGAACTTTAAAAAGCATTCTTAGAGCTGGGCACAGTGGCTCATGCCTGTAGTCCCAGCAATCTGGGAGGCCGAGGTGGGAGGACTCTGCTTGAGGCTAGGAGTTTGAGACTATTCTGAGTAAGAGCAAGATCCCATCTCTGAAAAAAATAGAAAAATTAGCCAGGCATAGTAGCATGCACTTGTAGTCCCAACTACTTGGGGGCTAAGGCGGGAAAATTGCTTGAGCCCAGGAGTTTGAGGCTGCAGTGAGCTATGATGATGCCACTGCACTCTAGCCAGGGTAACAGGACTCTGTCTCAAAAAGGAAAAAAAAGCATTCTTAGAAGATCAGGTTAATATAAATACAATGATATGATATTTTCCATTTTTAATAAAGATGAAGCATGATTAAATTTGTACTTTCTAAATTCTATTTGTATGTAATAAGAACTTACATGCAAATAAATAGCAGCATTATAATTTGAGAAAAAGGAATATGTTTTAGAGGAATGAAGTATGAATTAGATAGAAATAGAACTCTACGAATATTCAGTAAAAGACATATGAAGACTAACACTTTACAAATTGGGTTAGAAACCAGATGAAAGCATTTGTCCTCTGTGCTAATTTCAGTAAGTATCAGCAATTTTCTTCTGTTTGCTAATATTTTAAAGAACAGTAACAATACATAACTACCCATATACCCTAAAAAGGCAGATAGAAACGAGGGTTCAAATCTTAGCAAGTTATATAAAAAAGACTGATCTGAGTTTCAGTTTCTTCATATGTAAAAGGAAGGCTAACACTACCTACCTGATAAATGATTACTTAAAACTGACATGTGTAAAGCACTCAGCACAACGCACAATGGTAGATGATCAATAAATGATAAATATGATTATGTCACCCGCGATGCTGCTCTGTAAATTAAGACTTCTACACATGTCAAGGCCATACCTCTGTCGGAACATCATAGCTGGGTCCATGTTGGCAGAGGTCATTCGTACAACTTGGCGTATTTCCTTGGCAATCATTCTTAGCTTCTCAAAGTTTACTAAACCATCTACTTTGGAGTCATTTCCTATAGAATAAACAGAAATTTTTAACTTTCAAAATTAAATTACATACATAAAAGTCTCAAAGTCAAGCCATAATTCTTGAGGGGCACAAATAAGAACCTTCTTTATCAAAATGCCACTTTTGCTTTCTGATATCCCTATAAATGGCTCAACCCTGGTCCCAGGGAATGAGCCACTAGGAGAAACCGTATTTCATATGGGAGTAAAGAGTATGAATATAGGAAAGGGATAAACCGTGCATGGCTTCTAAGATCAATTTCATTATTTTGTAGGCTCACATATAAAATATGCAGCTCCTCACATCTAACTCTCTAGATGCTCAGCCCACTATCAGGCAGGTACCTACATTTGCTCTTTTGGACAACAAAGGCATCACACTTGAAAACTTAGGCTTTAGCCAGAGTTCACAAGGTCACCTCTGGGCTTAATTAACCCAGCCTGCAGCAAGTTTTCTTTGGTTTCGAATACTTTAAAATCTCAAGTTAGTGGCAAGTTGGATGTTAAAAAAAAAACCAAAAAAAGTAAAATGAAAAATATAAGATTTAATATAATACTTTAAAAATTGTCAAATGAATTGTCATCATTTAAGAAGTAGAAAATATCCCATGAACATGAGAATTTCTAACTTTTCTTAAAGAATAGAAGGGGTGTAAGATGGAAGATTAAGTAATATTGAGTCTGTTTTCCTAAAAGGTGATAATTAGTTAAAACCATGAGGTCTCTCTGTGGAAGTCCAAGGCCCTGAAGCCAAGACTGAGCACCATACCGGTATTGAAACACATGGTAAACAGCACCTATACATTGGACCCATGGATTGTTCAGGGTCTCAACCTGAGTTTGAAACAAAATAATAAAAAACACCCTCAAGTCATAAAAACATGTTTTGAGGTAGCATGTCAGAAAAATACAGTTGAAGCTTAAACAATCTCTCTCTCTCCACCATGCCCGGCTAATTTTTTTCTATATGTATTAGTTGGCCAATTAATTTGTTTCTATTTATAGTAGAGACGGGGTCTCCCTCTTGCTCAGGCTGGTTTCGAACTCCTGACCTTGAGCAATCCACCCGCCTCGGCTTCCCGGAGTGCTAGGATTACAGGTGTGAGCCACTGTGCCCGGCCTAAACAACATTTCTTTATGAAAAAAGAGTGATAATGAAAGAAAAGGCAGTAAGCCTAGGTAATTAGAACCCTTCTGTTGAGAACACTTAGAAAAGTTAGTCAAAAACAGAGAAAAAAAGTTTAAAGGCATCAGAAGGCTAACAAGGCAGTGAAGATCTAAAAAGACGAACAGAAAGAAGCAGATTTAGTATTTCCCAGTGCCTGCCCCTAGCTAGGTGCATAGCTAATTTTAGAAAAAGGGGATTAAATGCTGAAAAGTGGAGCAGAGACATCCTGCTTTTTGAGGTGAAAGAAAAGTAACTTATGTCCAAGTAAACCTCTAATGCTTTGGGTTGGAACTCTGAAGGGTCACATCCTGGGACTGAGGATGAACTCAATGTAGACTGGGGAAAAAGTCTAATGTTAAATTATGTCAAAATTTAAAAATGGATTAAAGTAATTGGGGTTGCTAGCACTCATAGCTACCCATCAGAAGCAAGCTTAAATCCTCACTGAAAGAAGAGAACATCATTTTAAACCTCATATTATTTGTGTAATTTTTTATACACAGCATCCATTACTGTGTCAAAAATACCCAGACACATCAACAAAAAAGATAACAAGATTAAACACAAGAGAAAAAAGACAACAGAAACAGACCCACACGGATCCAGATTATAGAGTTATCAGAGACAGACTTTAAAATAATTATGCTGAATATGTTCAAAGATACAAAAAAACAACACCAAGAACCTTGCCAAAGAACATGCAACTAAAAGAATTAAAGAAATTATAAAACTGAAAAAAATATAATAACTGGAATTAGGAACTCAGTGATGGATTTAACCAAAGTTTAGACACAGTTGCAGAGGGAATTAATAAAATGGACAATAGTTTGGCAGGAAATATCTAGAATGAAGCATGGCAGGACAAAAACTCAAAAACTACAGAGAAGAGCCTATGAGAAAATAGTCATAGGATCAGGTCTAACAGAGGTGAACTCTGAGTCCCTAAAGGAGAGAACAGAAGAGGGTAAATAAATTTGAAGACATAATTACTGATAATTTTCCAAAATTCATGGAAAATAGCAAATCATAGGTTTTAAGATGTTCTAAAAACACCAATCAGAATTAAAACAAACAAACAAACAAACAAACGAAAAACAAAACCCCCCATCTACTCACATCAAGCAAAAGTAGAGAAAAACAAAGGCAAAGAAAAACCGGCCGGGTGTGGTGGCTCTCATCATGCCTGTAATCCTAGAACTCTGGGAGGCCAAGGAGGATAGACCGTTTGAGCTCAGGAGTTTGAAACCAGCCTGAGCAAGAGTAAGACCCTGTCTCTACTAAAAATAGAAAGAAATTAATTGACCAACTAAAAATATATAGGAAAAAAAATTAGCCAGGCATAGCGGCACATGCCTGTAGTCCTAGCTACTTGGGAGGCTGAGGCAAGAGGAATGCATGAGCCCAGGAGTTTGAGGTTGCTGTGAACTAAGCTGACACCATGGCACTCAAGCCTGGTTAACCGAGTTGACACTCTGTCTCACAAAAACAAACAAACAAACAAAACAAAACAAAAATTCTAATAGCAGCCATCAAACAAAGGCAGATTACAGTCAAAAAATGCCAAATTAAACTGAGAGGTGACTTCTCAACATTAACAACAGGAGCCAAGACAACACAATGTTATTTCAAAAGGCTGAAAGAAGGTATCTGCCAAGCAAAAATACGCCTTTTAAAATGAAGGACATTTTCAGATAAACAAAAATTAAGAGATATTCATCACCAGCACACTCGTGCTTAAGGGATTACTAAAAAAGCCAAAAAACCTCCTATCAAACCCTATGGAGGCTTTAAGATGAAGGAATAAAAAACAACAAAAACAACAAAAGTAAATATATAGGTAAAGTTAAATAAATACTATTAAACAGCTTAATAATATCTTGTGGGATTTAAAGGCACAGTAATTGCATAAAAATTGTAAATGGAATTTAAGTGGTCTAATTTCCTTGCGTACAAGAAAGAACTAATGAATATTAAACTAATTAATATTAACAAATATACATGATATGGACATCTAATGTAACATTACAAAAATCAAATAGTGCATAGTTACCAAGAGAGTAGGAAAAGTATGCAAAAATTAACTCAGGTAGATTGTAGATAAAACATATGATAAAAACAATCATTAAATCAGGTTTTTAAAACTAATAACCTCTGTGCTTAGAAGAGTCAAAAGGCATACAATTATTATTTGCCACTTTAAAAACTAGAGTCAAAAAGCAAGTCATGGCCAGGCAGGGTGGTTCACGCCTGTAATCCTAGCACTCTGGGAGGCTGAGGCTGATGGATTACTCAAGGTCAGGAGTTGAAAACCAGCCTGAGCAAGAGTGAGACCTCGTCTCTACTAAAAATAGAAAGAAATTAATTGGACAACTAAAAATATATAGAAAACATTAGCTGGGCATGGTGGCACATGCCTGTAGTCCCAGCTGCTCAGGAGGCTGAGGCAAAAGGATTGCTCGAGCCCAGGAGTTTGAGGTTGCTGTGAGCTAGGCTGACGCCACGGCACTCTAGCCCGGGCAACAGAGTGAGACTCTGTCTCAAAAAAAACAAACAAAAATAACAACAACAACAACAAAAAAACAAAGCAAGTCATATCAGAATGTATGAAGAATTCTTAGAAATATATTTAACAAAAAGACTACCTAATCAAACAATGGGCAAGGAACCCAAATCCATGATTGACAAAAGAAGATTAATCTACACACACACACACACACAAATATAAATATGGGTGCTCAACCTAATCAGTAATCAGGAAAATGCATATTATAACCACACCAAGATACAATTACATGCCTATTGGAATAGATGAAAATAAAAAGAATGAATTTACCAGGTGTGGATCAGGATGAGGAGTATGAGAATTCCAATAACACTGAAAAGTATCTAACTTTAGCAGATAACACCAAACTGTTTTCTAAAGTTGATCATACATATATCAGGATCCATAAATTCCACCCTGAATATAACATATAGCCAATAAAAATTCTTGTTCACTAGAAGACACTATATGTGCAAGAATATTCACAGCATTATTCACAATAGGTCAACAGTGGAAACTAACAGATGCCTACCAAGAGAATGAACACATCTATTGTACTGCATTCATATAATGGAATTCTAAATAGTTTTGAAAATGAAGTACAGCTACACTCAAAAACATGGAAGAATCCTATTCGTCTAATGTTGACCATAACAGGCCAGAAACCAATACAAACTAAAACAAACAAACAAACAAACAAAAATATCAAACTCTGTGATTCTATTCATGTAAAGTTCAAGAACAGTTTAAACTACAGCATTATAACTCAGGATAGTAGTTAACTCTTGGGAACACGATGAGGGTGGCAATAGGAAAGGGGCAGGAGCAGGGCTTCTAGGCTGTTGGCAATGTTTTATTTTGGGGTGTTGGTTACATGGGTGTTTGCTTTCAGTAATTCATTAGTTGTTCACTTGGAGACTTTTCTGCATGTGTTTAGCAATTCAATAAAAAAAAGTTGGAAGAAAAATGTTACCTAACAAAACAATAATTATGATCAAACTGTCTTATCCTAGTGTGTCAAATTTATGTTTGAATGTACATAGTAAATATTAGGCCATTAAATATAAAATGTCTGATTTTAAATCAAAGTTTAGTTTATTATATCTCAAATAAGAAGTACAATTAATCATACTTTGACATAGTTTTGCCATCTTAAAAATTAACGGTAGCTTGCTTATGCCAGCAGCAAAGAAGCCTGGAGAGCAAGCGGCGATGAAATTACAAAGGGTGTGTTCCACAGCTTGTTGAGAATTGAATATTTTTCCTTGCAAGAAGTGGTCCAAAGACTGGAAGAAGTGGCAATCAATTGGTGCAAGGTCTGGTGAATACGGTGAATTAAAGAGAGTTTCCGCATCCAGCCTCTGCAGTTTGAGCAGACTGTTTGTACGACATGGGGTGGAGCATTGTCTTGCAAGAGGATTGCCCTGTCTCTATTAACCAATCTTGGCTGCTTGATTGCAAGCATCCTCATCATTTCACATGACTGGGTGTAGTAGACATCCACGATAATCAACTGACCAGGTTTCATGAAGCTGTTGTGGATAATACCACCACTGGACCAACAGACAGACACTATCAGCTTCTTATGATGAATATTCATTTTGGGGCTGTGTTTTGGCACTTCATCTTTATCCAACCTCTGTGCCGAATGCTTCATAACCTAATACTTTAATTTGCCATATTATTAACAATATGGCTTTTGCATTCCTAAAATCTGCTACGTTTAACTGTGTAAAGCTTTAGTGACATACAATCATTAGGTTGGAATATACAATAAATCACAATTCTGTAGAATTAGCAATTGTCTAAAAGAATCCATTTTTCATCACATGTAATGATAGGTGTAGAAATATTTCACCTTTATGTCATGACAGTAAAGAAAGGCAAGCTTCAAGACAATTTCTCTTCTGATGCTCATTTAATTCATGCGGTACCCATCTATCCAGTTTCTTTACTTTGCTATTTGTTTCAAATGATCCAATATTGTTAGAATAGTAACGTCAAACCTTGCTGCTAATTCACGCTTAGGTTGAGATGGATTCGCTTCCACTACAGCTTTCTCATTTTCAGGATTAAAATCTCAAACCATCAATGTACTTTGTGTTCATTAGCCACATACTTCCCAAACACTGTGTTGATATTTCAAGCTGTCTGCGCTGCACTCTTTCCATGATGGAACTCATATTCAAAAGTGATACAAAATTTTGATTTATCCATGATTTCACAAAAATTGCTCTAAAAAAATTTTGAAAGATAATCACGAGCCAAAACATGCACTTGAAAGAACAAGGATGTATCTTCACAACAAACAAACAAACAAACAAACAAACAAAACCTAAAAGTTTCAAAGTAAAATGTCAGCGATATCAACTATCAAACTTAGTACTTAAGGAAATCAGACATTCATATTTAATAACCTAATACATTAATTTGCTTTTGTTAACAATATGGCTTTTGCATTCCTAAATTCTGCTGTGTTTAACTGTATAAAGCTTATGTGACATACAATCATTAGGATGAAATATATAATAAATCACAATTCTGTAGAATTTAGAATTAGCTGAAGCTAAACATGTTAACTTTCAAATAACTTTTAAATACCTTCATGTAGAAATGTCATATCTTTCTTGACAACAGGGAAGAGAGGAATAATCGGAGGCTGCATGCTTTGACTACTAAGAATATTTCTATACTTTGCCATGTTTCTAGATGGATCAAAAAGGTCTTGTAGATCTTGGAGATGTTTCTCATATTTGCTTGGTAACTTTTCCCAAGTACCTCTAAGTCGTGCTACAGGTGCCAGGTTCAATCCACTGCCAAAGATGAGAATAAAAACATTAAAAAGGGACTTGGGGAGAGGGTGGACTCAGGTCAGTAAAGTGCATACCCCAACTTCTCTATTATAAACCTAAAAATAAGCAGGGACATATTTCAACATGTTGAAACAAACAGAGAAGAACTTTTAAAAAAAGAAATAAAAGAGACTACTTAATCTCAAAAGGAAAACTTCTTTCAGAAGAACTACACTACCTGCCTATAGTTACATACTAGTCTTTATTTTATACTTGCATTAAAGTGACAAATGTAATAAATCCATAAAATAGACATTTAACTTAAAAAAAAAATTTGTGATTCAAATATCACAATGTTCATTGTTTTGCTCAGAAATAAGCTTATGGAGACACTACCTATTTGAAAATGGTTTAACTCTGTGGTCCCCAATGCCCGGTCATGGACTGGTCCTGTTCTGTGGCCTGTTAGGAATTGGGCTGCACAGCGGGAGGTGAGCGGGAGGTGAGCAGCAGGCGAGCAAGCGAAGCTTCACCTGTATTTACAGCCGCTCCCCATCACTTGCATCACTGCATAAGCTCTGCCTTCCTGTCACATCAGCGACATTTGATTCTCATAGGAGCAAACCCTACTGTAAACTGCGCATGTAAGGGATCTAGGTCACACTCTCCTTACGAGAATCTAAATGCCTGATGATCTGAAGTGGAGCTGAGGTGGTGATGCTAGTGCTGGGGAGTGGCCGCAAATATAGATTCTCATTAGCAGAGAGGATTGACTGGACAATAAATGTAATGCGCTTGAACCATCCCGAAATCATCCTCCTCGTCCCCATCTGTGGAAAAACTGTCTTCCATAAAACTGGTTCCTGGTACCAAAAAGGTTGTGGGTTACTGGTTTAATGCTGAGAACCACCGTTACATGATAACTAAGGCAAGTTCTGGCGCTGAGGTAGCCTTTCTTTTCTGAGATTTTGTCTACTTGTGTCCCTGATTTCCATACTTCTATATCCCTAGGTTCCTAAACTTGTCCCCTAAGCCTCCAGAAATTCAGTGTCTCCTTTCCACAAGATTTTAAATAAGCTCAGATATTCCCTAACTTGAAAAAGTAAGTCAGGCCAATTAGGCTGCAAGTCTTCACTATTATTATTTTTTTTTGAGACAGACTCTGTTGCCCGGGCTAGAGTGCCATGGCATAAGCCTAGCTCACAGCAACCTCAGACTCCTGGCTCAAGCGATCCTCCTGCCTCAGCCTTTGGAGTAGCTGGGATTACAGGCATGCGCCACCATGCCTGGCTAATTTTTTCTGTATATTTTAGTTGGACAATTATGACTTCTTTCTATTTTTAGTTGAGATGCGGTCTCTATCTTGCTCAGGCTGGTTTCGAACTTCTGACCTTGAGTGATCGGCCCGCCTCGGCCTCCCAGAGTGCTAGGATTACAGACATGAGCCACTGCATCCGGCCTGAAGTAGCTTTCTAAGTACTAACTTGGAATAATTTCCAAGGTAAATCAAACAAAATAAACCAATGTAGTTTAAAAAATATATTTATATACTTGCTATGTGTATAGACTGTATCTCTTAAATGAAGAAACTTTCATGGTTGCTTCTGGGGAGAGGAATTTGGGCGGACTAGAGACAGAATGGGAGGAAGAGTTACACTTCACACTGTGTAGTCTTTTAGTTTTTTTTTGTTTTTGTTTTTGTTTTGAGACAGAGTCTCGCTTTGTTGTCCAGGCTAGAGTGAGTGCCGTGGCGTCAGCCTAGCTCACAGCAACCTCAAACTCCTGGGCTCGAGTGATCCTTCTGCCTCAGCCTCCCGAGTAGCTGGGACTACAGGCATGCGCCACCATGCCCGGCTAATTTTTTATATATATATATCAGTTGGCCAATTAATTTCTTTCTATTTATAGTAGAGACGGGGTCTCGCTCTTGCTCAGGCTGGTTTTGAACTCCTGACCTCTAGCAATCCGCCCGCCTCGGCCTCCCAGAGAGCTAGGATTACAGGCGTGAGCCACCGCGCCCGGCCGTCTTTTAGTATTTTTAAATTTTTTTCCATGCACATATAATGTCTATTCAAAATGTTAAAAGTTAATTTTTAATTATCAAAAATACACTATTTAATTCCAGCCAGAACAATTCACCTTTGCTATCTCTGCTGAAGAGTTAATATGGTCTTTATATTCTTTGATATATTTGAATATAAAATACAAGAATATAAAGCAATTATCTTTACATGAACTATGGAAAATGTGCATAACAAATATTCTTTCTAACAAAACAAAACTCTTAACCAAATCTCAGGTCTTCCCTACTACTCCTCTTGAGGCTACTTGTCTCAAAAGTCACTGCCTTTTCCTGGCTTTAATGGCAATATCATCACTGTGCTACTGTGTTCCTTGTATTGATTCTCCATCTCTTTGGCTGGACTCTTTTTCTTTACCCCTATACCATGAGAACGGCTACGAAGGTATGGTTTTTAGACCACTACCATTTTCTTTCTACACTTTCCTTTCACATCTGTTCTCTCAGTGTCGATCAATTTTCCTTGTGGAATACTCTAGAACTGATCCTATTATTCTCAAATTCTTTATTTACTGCTTCCCATACAAAAGGGGAATTTTTAGCCTTCCAAGTGTTTATCAGTGGCATCTTTGTTCCTGTTTTAGACCCAGCTGTTAAAAACTATAAGACAGGTGGTATAATTCCTGCATTTTATAGATGAGAAAACCAGTCTTCAGTTTTCCATTGATACACTGGTAGTACAAGGGAGAGAAAGGATTCAAACAGATGCAGCTGATTTTTATTATTATTTTTTTGAGATAGAGTCTCGCTTTGTTGCCCAAGCTAGAATGAGTGCCATGGCGTCAGCCTAGCTCACTGCAACCTCAAAATCCTGGGCTCAAGCAATCCTACTGCCTCAGCCTCCAGAGGAGCTGGGACTACAGGCATGCGCCACCATGCCCGGCTAATTTTTTTCTATATATATTAGTTGGCCAATTAATTTATTTCTATTTGTAGTAGAGACGGGGTCTCACTCTTGCACAGGCTGGTTTCGAACTCCTGACCTCAAGCAATCCACCCGCCTCGGCCTCCCAGAGTGCTAGGATTACAGGCGTGAGCCACGGCGCCCAGCCACATACAGTTGATTCTAAAGTTCACTCTGTTAATCCCTATTTAATAGTCCTACAGTATTTAGTTCAACTGCAGCCACTGGTTAATTTAATAAAGAAACATCCTATTACCATGACAGAGTCATGATTGCAGTCCCTATAAAGATTCCACTTTTATCTTACATGAGTAATAGAAACAATGATTATAAATTCTGTGGAGAAAGTATGTAGGTGGGATTGCATAAAGGGGAATTGTGCTGCCAATATACGCACATGGCCTTATACATGGACCTAACTCCCTAACTACAACTCCCCTCCCCTTTAAAATTAGACTTGTTTTAAGAAGAATCCTTTTGTTATCAGCAGTATCCTGGATAAGGGTCAGAAAATAAATTATCAACAATTAGTTTCTCCACCTGTAATCCTAGCACTCTGGGGGGGCTGAGGTGGGAGGATCGCTCAAAGTCAGGAGTTCAAAGCCACGAAAACAGAGTGAGACAGAGACTCTGTCTCAAAAAAAAAAAAAGAAAAAAAAAGAATTGATTTTTTATAAAGAGTGGAGAGAAGGTGGCAGAGCTCAGGAAATGATCTACATTTCCCAGGCTTATAAACTTCCAAGGATTTTTGTAATTCTAATGGCCCAGCTTGAGTGACAACATATCTAGTGATAACTCCCATAGTGCCTGGCAATCAGGAAGAGTTCATTAAATGGTTGCTATTATTATTGTTGGTGGTGTTGTTATTTCAAAATAGCTATTTTAGGCCAAAGCACTGATACTACACTGTGATTTTTCACTGTCAAATCATAAGAGAGGTGGACACTTAAATAAGCACTATACAGAAGTCTGATGATAAAGACCACCCACTGGGCAGATATCCAGAGAGGGTATAATCACTCAAAGGGGTAAAAGAAAGAAAAATGAGAAGGCAATCATCTACATTCATTTAAAAAAAAAAATTTAAGTAACAGAAAGATCAAAGAAACAAAAATAGAAAAAGCCAGTGATGTCAGAATGGAAAATACATTAAATCTAACAATACTTCAATAAAGGCTTATTAACTGAACTTTTTTCCCCATAGGCATTTAATACTTAAGCAGAAAATCAGCTTGATGTCTAATATCACAACAAAACCATATACAGATATTTATACCTATTTGTACAAACTTACCTTATTATTGCAAACATGGAATTGAAGTTCTTACATTCTCGACAATGAAGTGCAATTTTAATAAAATGCTTAATAATCTTCATTCGTTTGAGCTGATTTGATTCAGTTAAAATCTCTGAGGCAACCCAGAATGTCTCTTGGTTTACAATGTCCTCAAACTCTTTCAAATGAGTATTTCCTGTCTGGCAATCTAACTTAAAAAGGTCATCAATATATTCCGTAGGTTCAATGTTACGAAACAAATCAAAGTCTCTCATTGACAGCTGGGTGGCCAACTCAATGGTACTGAGCTGCAGCATTGATAGTTGGCTTTCCTTAACTAGTTCTTGAGCATCTTCATCTGAACACAAGGTTTCTGTCTCCATATTATTTTTTAAGTAATACCTAAAGGGGAAAAATGTTTTTAATAAACAATCATAAATGTGACTTCACATTTATAAAAGAGCACCTTTCCTCTTTATTATCATCAAAGTATCATTTTACTGTTAATAACTTTCAGCCAAAAATGTTAGCAGACTATTCACTTACAGATGAAATGGCAAATTAACATTTTAAATGAGAAGACTTTTGAGATGTTGTCCTATTGTCATTTGACATCTATTATTTTAAAGAGTATAAATAATGTTGATTATGCTATGAACTTAATCATTTCATGAAACAACTCACCATTTGTGAACAATCACGTAGGAATATTCTTTTTTTTTTTTAAAGACAGAGTCTCGCTTTGTTGCCTAGGCTAGAGTGAGTGCCGTGGCGTCAGCCTCGCTCACAGCAACCTCCAACTCCTAGGCTCAAGCAATCCTCCTGCCTCAGCCTCCCGAGTAGCTGGGACTACAGGCATGCACCACCATGCCTGACTAATTTTTTCTATATATATTAGTTGGCCAATTAATTTCTTTCTATTTATAGTAGAGACGGGGTCTCGCTCTTGTTCAGGCTAGTTTCGAACTCCTGACCTCGAGCAATCTGCCCGCCTCTGGCCTCCCAGAGAGCTAGGATTACAGGCGTGAGCCACTGCGCCTGGTATGAATATTCTTGAGAATAAAAAGCTTTATGAGGGCAATGCCAGCACCTAGAGTAGTATCTAATACATAGTTCCTACTACAAAAATATTTGTTTATGTACAATATGAATTCTGATTAAGGCAATAATAAATACTTGTTTAAATTCTGCACTTACTGCCTTTTTTGCAATCTCCAAGTGAAGCAAAAAAGAATAAAATCCATAAAGGAGGGGAAACTCTTCCACTAATGGTTTCTCCCTTGTCACATACAAAACCTCTTTCCAGCAAGTGGCATGGATCAGCAACCATACAAAAGACCTACAGCTTCCTTTTTTTCTCTTCAGATCAACAATTCTATGGCACTTAAATGCTAAGAGGCCTACAGTATTTACAGCTGGAAATATCTTATACATGGATGTTACTAGGGAAAAGAGATAACATATATATTACATGCTTTTACTTTATTCTTTTCTCATAATACAACTTGACTTAGGACTAATTTTGTATTCATTTACTTTTTACCATCCAGAAACTATCTCTTTTTTCTCTGCCTTTATACTGTTCACATGCCTTAGACAACGCTGCAAGTAAGGGTGCTCATGCAGGGGGTGGGGAACCTGTGGCCTTCTGATTTCAAGATTTTTCTTTTTTAAGAAACAAAGCAGGCAAGAAAAGCTTCATCTTTCTCTGCTGCACCCCTTTTAAAAAACAAAAGGATTTAGGCCGGGCGCTGTGGCTCACTCTTGGGAGGCCGAGGCGGGCGGATTGCTCAAGGTCAGGAGTTCAAAACCAGCCTGAGCAAGAGCGAGACCCCGTCTCTACTATAAATAGAAAGAAATTAATTGGCCAACTAATATATATAGAAAAAATTAGTCAGGCATGGTGGTGCATGCCTGTAGTCCCAGCTACTCGGGAGGCTGAGGCAGAAGGATCACTCGAGCCCAGGAGTTTGAGGTTGCTGTGAGCTAGGCTGACGCCACGGCACTCACTCTAGCCTGGGCAACAAAGCAAGACTCTGTCTCAAAAAAAAAAAAAAACAAAAGGATTTGTTCTGCAAAATTTGGATTCAGGCAAAAGGCCACACTTAAGGACCTAGAAGGCTACATTTCACCTTAAGGCCACAGGTATTGTTTATTAAATCATTTAATCCTTACAACATTCCTATGAGGTAGATTCTATTATTATCATCCTCATGATCCTCATGATGAAATTTAGGCACAGAGAGACTACATAACTTGCCCAAGGTCACACAGAGCTGGGATTTGAACGTGCGCCATCTGGCTCCAGGATCTCTGCTCTGAACCACTGTGTACAGCCAGCAAAGCAGGGTTAGCTCATTCTCTCCTCACAGCACCCATGATGGGCAGTCATTTTAAGGTTTCCAAGGATCCTGTTCTACATGTAAAACTGGGTCACTAAAAAGATTACCTCAGAGAAAACTACCAGAGTAAGAAACAAATGTACTACTGAAACAACCTTCTAGTTTACCAAATAATTTTCAGAGCAATTTAAAAATTTTTAAAATTTTCACGCACAGTCATAGAAGCAAAACTACTTAGAAAAAGAATTATGAAAATCATGACTTCTTTTGCCCAAAATACATACTTGTCATATTAAAAACAAATTTAAAAATTAATACATATACACACTCAGATACATAGGAAGATTTGTATCAGTTTCCCTCTCTGTAAAAAACAGGAATTAGAGTACATCAGTGGTTCTAAGACCTTACTTTACCAGAAGTGCCAAAACACTAGGTTAGTAAGTATGAAATGTCAGATTTCCTTAAGTACTAAGTTTGACAGTTGATATCTCTGACATGTCACATTGACACTTCTTGTTTTATTTTTATTGTGAAGGTACATCCTCACTCTTTCAAATGTACCGTTTGGCTTGCGATTATCTTTCAATTATTTTTGAGCAATTTTTGTGAAACCATGGATGGGTCAAAAAAGGCATGTTATTTTTGAGTATGTGTTTAATTGTGGAACCAATGCAGTGCAGACAGCTTGAAATATCAACCAAGTGTTTGGGAAGGACATGGCTAATGAACACATAGTATGTTGATGGTTTGATGTACTTACTATGCATAAAATCACCATTCTGGTGATTTTAATCTTGAAAATGAGCCACATGGGCAACTTGAGACCAAGGTGGATAATGATGAGCTGAGAGCTGTAGTGGAAGTGAATCCATTTCGACCTACTCATGAATTAGCAGCAAGGTTTGATGTCACTATTCCAACAATATTGGACCATTTGAAACAAATGGGCAAGGTAAACAAGCTGGATAGATGGGTTCCACATGAATTAAACATGTGTCAGGAGACAAATCATCTCAAAGCATGCCTTAGCTTTCATGACATAAAAGTGGAACATTTCTACACCATACTGTCATATGTGATGAAAAATGGATTCTTTTAGACAATCACAATTATCTGGCACAAAGGCTGGAAATAGATGACAGCCTGAAACCAAATATTCATCAAAAAAAACTAATGGTGTCTGTTTGGTCCAGTGCTGCTGCTATTCACCACAGCTTCATGAAACCTGATCAGTCAATTACAGTGGATGTTTACTGCAACCACCTGGATGAAATGATAAAGATGCTTGTGACTGAGCAGCTGAGATTGGTCGATAGAGACAGGCCAATCCTCTTGCAAGACAATGCTCGACCACGTTACATAAACAACACTCCTCAAAATACAGAGACTCGACTTGGAAACTCTCTGTCATCCACTGTATTTATCAGACCTTGCACCAACTGACTACCACTTCTTCCAGGCTTTGGACCTCATCTTGCAAGAAAAAATATTCAATTCTCAACAAGCTGTGGAAAACACCTTCCGTGATTTCATCACCACTCGCTCTCCAGGCTTTTTCACTGCTGGCATAAACAAGCTACTGTTAAGATGGCAGAACTGTGTTTATAGTTTAGGTGCATACTTTGATTAATTGCATTGCTTCTTGTTTGAGATACAATAAACTACACTTTTGATTTAAACTCAGACATTCCATATTTAATGACCTAATATTTTTAGCAAGCTATGTTTTCATTTTTCCACTTTGGGGTAGCCATTATGAATGCTAGCACCTTAAGATTCTTCTATTTATGTAATTAAGGAGACAAGAAAAACTTGGAAAAAAGAGAAATCCTACTTTAATCTTAAGAGAGAAGTCCATGGCACTAAAACATGTTTCTACTTAAAATATGTTTTAACAGGGAATCTTGACAAGCACACGTACAAAAAAAGGACATTCACTAACAAACTTATTCACCTTCCATTGAGTTGAATTCTATCAGCTAATTTGGAGAATTGATCCGGAAGTCTTCTCTGTTTTATGACACCTTCAGGAGTAACAGAAACTTCACAGAGAGAGTATGTGTCGGATGCACCAGTCAAACCAAATTCATGAACAGCATGACAAACTACTTCTTTAGCTGTAGTGTCTTTACTGATGATAATGTAGCAACTTTGCTGATCTGCTTTGAAAACTCTTATTACTTGATCAGGAATATCTATATAAATACAAAGATGTGCCTTGTTATTTTCAAGCAAATTATTTTTAAACTCTTCAAAAAGCAATTTGTAACATAATAAATAATCACTCTAAACAATGAAATATACATTTATATTTCAAAATATTAACAGAAATCACAGTTGTATTTATTGATAAATATATCTATTTTTTTCAGACTAATATATGTTGACACAAAAACCCAAAGATAAAAATTGGGACCATACTATATACTTATGATTTAGAAGCCATAATTTTTTTCATTTAATATCTTACAAACATTTTTAAGTCATTAAATATTCTTATATAAAAGTATTTTTAATGAAGGCATCATACTCCATATTTATTTCAATTATCCAAACTTCTAATATGACCGACATTTAGATTGGTTACCATTTTCTGTTATTATAAATGACATCATGATATAGACTCTCACCACCCCCACCCCTAAACCCTGTCCAAGCCTTTGCAGGCAACCTGATTATGCCCTCAACATGAGAATTGCCGAGTTAGAAGGCATGCATATTTTCAGGATTTTGAAATATACCAAAATACGCCAAACTGCTCTCCAGAAAGGTTATATATTTTATAATCCTAGAGCATAAGAGAGCCAATTTGGTTACATTCTTATCAAAACTGTTCATTAATGTTTTGTTTTGTTTTCCTATTCCAAAAACCCTCATCTTTTCCTCTATTACATTTCTTTGGTTACTGGTGAGATTTAGTAACAGATACTGGTTTATAAACATTTAGTATTTCCTATAAAAAATACCTTTTGATATCCTTTATGCATTTTTCTACTGTAGTATACTGGATACCAACATTTAGTCTACTATAAAGTGGCAAACATTTCCCTAGTCCTCTCCCCTCCCTCCGTTCCTTCCCTTGCTCCCCCAGGCTGGAGTGCAGTGGCATCATCATAGCTCACTGCAGCCTTGAACTCCTGGGATCAAGTGATCCTCATACCTCAGCCTCCTGGAGTAGCTGCTGGGACCACAGGTGTATGTCACCATGATCAGCTAATATTTATATTTTTTGTCAAGACAGGTTCTCACTATGGTGCTCAGGCTGGTCTTGAACTCCCAGGTTCAAGCAATCTCCTCACCCTGGCTTCCCAAAGTGCTAGAATTACAGGTGTGAGCCACCATGCCAGCCTCTATTTTATTTTTAACACAGGAAAATTTTAAGTGTTTGTCTGGTGAAATCTCTCAATTTCTGCCCTTTTGATTTCAGGTAGTAGTAGACAAATTCTAACTCAGGATAATGTTCATATGATATGCATATGCAAATAATTATATTTTTTGCTTCTTGCTCTATTTTATTTTTCTCTTCATATATAGCACTGGCTAAAACTTCCAGAACAGTGTTCCCTGTAATAAGTGGGCTAATTTTTAATGTAATTAAATGTAATTGAGAAGTGATTTAATAGCATGAACAAATGCTAAATTTTTCCTTATAATAATAAATCACAGTCGCAAGATTTCTCTTTTTTTAAAAAAATCAGGAATAGGTACTAGAGTGTGTGTGTGTGTGTGTGTGTGTGTGTGTGTGTGCGCGCGCATGCGTGATGAATGCAGTGGTGGTGGGTTAGAGAGATTTTGGTGGCTCAAATAATTGTATACTGTTTGCCCAGCGTTACCTTCTCAGCATTATATACACTGTTAATTTCTGAGAAAAAAACCAATTACAAATTTGTCTCAAAACCTCCTAAGGTACATTCCTGGCTAAAGGCAAGAAGAGAGAAATGGAATACATATAGCAGGATATAATTTCATAGAATAAGCTACCCCCCTGAGAATGAGGACACAGAAAAAGATTGCCTCCCAGGACTGGAAGATTCAGCTGAATCTATACATGAATATAATTCCAGGGAAAAGGAGTCTTAGCCAACAGATGTTGAATGTTCTGGGTCCACTGTCAAGTTACAGGCTCCTTTTGTAAGATGGATGCACCAAACTGTTTTTCCTTGACATATTCAAAGATCTGAGTCATCAAATGACTCTTGTTCAGATTTCTTTCCCATGAGTCAATACTTAGTGTGCTGCTGACATCATCCAGGTTCTACACCTGCAAGGCTTAAGGTGAGACTCTTTTATGATCTACCATAATCAGAGATGCTTCTCCATCCTATGGTGGAAAATTACTGTAAGCAGATGGAGATGTTGCTTTGCCAAGAGAAAGACACTGGACAAAAGGGTTTCACTATCTGTTTTAACTATATTTCAAAAAAATCAAACAATACATTGGCATTATCTGTACTGTTGCTACTCTCTTTGTGAAAATACATCTCAGTTGACCTGGGGTCCAGAATTAAATCTGTTTACTAGATCTCTGGGCCTGAACCTCAGCCAGTGGTACTGGTGGTCCACCTTGTGGGAATGGGGAGATGTTCTGATTCTTTTTACTACTTTCTTCAGAGAAATTCATTCACAAATTCAGGGTGGAAATTTGCACACATTTCATGTTCTCTTCCCTTGTTGCCAATGTATTGTAACATCTGGGAAGTAACACATCATTGTATATCTTGCTGAACAGTGTTAAAAAGTCATGTTCAGTTAAAGTGATGTGCTTCCCCCATGAAGGACAAACTGTTATATAGTCACAGAAGAGGAATTTAGGCGTCATATATGGGTGTCTCTAGAACAGATCTGTAAGTGAATACCAAAGGGTAACGCCTAACCCAGGGTCTGATGAATCTGCCAAGGTAACAAATGCCAAATTGGAAAACTCTTCAAGAGGCAGCAGACAAAAAAATTTCTCTGCACTGATTCCAGTGATAGCGTAAACCTTCTTCTATTTCAGAACTGTGACATATATACTCTTTACAAACATGTTTGCTGCTGGTGGAAACACAACACACATGCCAAGCATAAGACACAGTATGTGGCAGATGTTCAAATGTTAATTAGATCGACGGTAAATATGAGGTTAGAATAAAGTTGAATCAAAAAGGAAAAAGGATTTTAAATTTCAGGCATGAAGCTAAAATGCACACAAAAATACAGTCCCTATTATAATGGCAAAACGCATTTAAAAAGATCTTGGAGAAGCACAGCATATTAGTCTTAAGATTCATGTTTCACATTTTAGAAATCTGATATAATAGGTAAATGAATTAAAGAACAGGAACCTCAGATATCTGGACTGTCAACCAAGAGACAAAATTTCTAGAGAAGTAACTGGAATATTGCATGAATAAAATAAAAAAACGAATACTTGAAGGATATATGTACTGATCCTGACTTCACACTAAAAATAGAACTTTTAGTTATTTAAGATGCTCTTAAACAAAAGACTGCCTTTTCATTCTGCTTTAGAATTGTGGAATAAATATTTATAAGTGTCCGTTATGTGTTAACAGTATTCCAGGTGATGAAAATATAGTGGTTAAGTGAGACAGATAAGATCTCTGCTCTCAGGGAATTTACTTTTATTCAAGAGTAAATGACAGTTCAAGGAAAGATAATCAAGTAAATAAGACAATCCACATAGTGAAAAGTGCCACAAAGATTGGCAAAATTATTCTGTAAAGAGCCAGATAGTATTTTAAGCTTTATAGGCCAACAGGCAAAATACAAGATATTTTGTAGGCATTTACATAATGAGAAAGAAAACAAATATCCACAAAATTTTTTATAAAATTCAAAATATAACAGTAACACAACATAAAACGAACATAGAGATGCAGGCAATACTGCAAATGTCTACTTAGAGAGGACTGGTTAAATAAATTCTACTAGCTGTTTAAAAAATTTTGGTAGAATAATACACATACTGATACAGAAAAATATTCAAAGGTATATTGTTAAGTGAAATGGGTAAGTGAAAGAAAAGTACATCATCTCATTTGGTGTGAAGGGAATGGTACATACATTTTATGTGCAATGAAATTTCTGGAAGAATATATGAGTAAATTGACAATTGTAAATTGAGTTTAAAAAGAGTTTATATTCTATCCTTTCTCTGCAGTTTGTTTTTTTAAAAAATTGTGTTCCTTTATAATTAAAAAATAGTAAAAATGAAAGACCTCCAATGCAGACAGACATAAGTTTACAATATTAAATAAATCAAATACGGGTGCATGCTGTTTAATGAAAAGAGTAATACTAAGTTCCATATGAAGACTTAGAAAAAAAATTCAGTTTCAAATTCCTTTTAGCCACACTCCAAATTCTTTTAGGCCTCATCTTGTATTCAGCCCAAAATTCCAAAAATATTTTCAACAAGTTATAGAATAACATATATACTCTGATTCTGTATGAATATAAAAACATATGTATTAAAAAAATGACTAAAAGGATACATGCCAATTAAAACTGGCTACTTTGTAAGTGGAAAGAGAAGTTTTGCTTCCTATTTCATTCAATTCTGTATCATACAACTTTTAAAAAATAACAAAATAATACATACAAATGAGCAATAGGATATTATAGTCTTCAAGATACTTACAGTAAAAACCAACAGCTGTAGGCAGCAAAAATAAAGCAAAATCATAAAAAAGTCAGCAATCAAAAACAAACTATTAAATAGTTCTCTAGCTTTGCCCTCACTTTCATTTTGATCTAGTATCTTTAAACATGCAGCATAAATAGAGCTAAACTCAAGATTGAAACACATTAATCAAACTTGGCTGATGTCACTTCACACATGTACTATAATATATATGTGTGATGCATACAACTCATTTAAATTTCTGTGCTGTTGTATACAATGTAAGAAGCTAAATTTGGAACTGGTAATGAATATCCCTTTACAATATAAATATAAATAATGCCGCCGCTATGTAGAAGGCCTTTTACAAAGTTACACATTTGGGCTTTAAAAATATTAATTGAAAAATTAAACACCTATTATACACATGTTCATTTACATTAGTGGTATGAGCACATGTTATAGATTGGGGTATATCATACTTTTTCAAAATAGATATTTAAAAGGCATCTTCAGGTTTTTAAACTTATTTTCAAGGACAGAATTATGCAATCAAGCTGAACAGCAAGCACCTTTTTAGAGGTCTGAATTTCAGCACTATGAGACTTAACAGTTTCTAAATTTTAATAATTTAAACCTTTTCCCTTTGTTTCCCCAGCTAAACCTCCAACTTACTTCCCTCTTTCCTCTCCCTACAATCCTATCCCTTATTCCCTCAGCCCTACTTCCGACATACGCCTATGGCAAAAATACAGCCATCACAAATCACACGGCCCCTAATACTTGTCATGAAAGTATGCACATTTAATTTGTGCTTTGGTAGTGTGAAAACATTTTATTTTTGAATCTTCTATGTAGTATAAAAAGTACCACAGTAGAACACACACAGACAGACAGACAAATCCCTATCCTGCCATAAAACAAACAATATAAAGGAGACCATGAAAATGTGCTGGAAACTTCTGAAAAAGGAGGGACTGACTCTGTAGCAGACGGAGGTGGGCTTTCCAGATGAGATAACACTTGAGTTCAGCACTGACAAATAAGAAAAAGTTCACTGGATATGCAGGGAGAGAACCAGAGGCGGCAAACAACGAGGGCAAAAGAGAGAGCTCTGAAGGTACATTCCATACTCAGTAGAGAGGAATGAAGTCACAGTGGGGAGAATGGCAGTGTAGGAAGCTAAAAAGGAGGTTCATCCCAGCAATACTCCTTCAACCTTGGTAGTGGGATTTCTCGCAGGTATCAAAAACCAAATCCTGTCTGCAGTTTTCCTACCTCTGTGATGCCTTAGTGCTTGCTTTTCTTTTTACCCTTTCAGGTAAATAGTTAATTAACTTTTTTATACCTTGGTAACAAGGCTTATATTAACTTCTGATCAAATAACTAGAATGGTTTATATCCCATCACTGAACTCTCACTAATACAGAAAGCACTAGACATTTCTAAGTAAAGTAATGACTCATTAAAATCTTTGTTCTAGAAAGAACACTAGTAGCCATGTGGAAAGTGGGATGTGTCAAGAAAGATTATTTGGTTTAGTAATTGCTCTAGTGGTTAAGGGGCAACTAAAATAAAAGGAAGAAACAATGTGCAGAATGACCTTCACTAACTTGTGTTTTTATAATATGTTATTTCCTGGGGTTAATTTACTTTATATAAACATAAGCTTTACTACTATATTTACATTTCCTTCTAATACTGAGATAAACGTAACTGAGTTTCCTTTCTTTTTAGACCAGCTGCTAGAGTCAAAACTGAAGCTGAGTCAGAACTATGCCGATTTTTGTAGAAGTTTTTTTCCTACCTTTCCTTGGACCCAATCATATATTTCAGTTTTTAACTCTAAGTGCCTTTTATCGAAAACCATCTCAAATCCTTTCAAGTGATGGATATATAATTGATTCTTCAAAGTCAAAGGTTTTCTTCCTTGAAACGAAATTTTTAGATTATATAATTGATAATTGATGCCTCTTGGCACGAACAAATACAAAAAATTAACTTGATATTCCACATTGCAAATCTAAACAATGAAAAAGATGCTATAATATACCATGATAATAGTACATGACAAATCAACAACTTTAGCTTCAGGTGTTGGAGGGAAAATCAGTGTTTTTAGAAAACTACTAACACATTGTTGTATATTATAGAGGAAAATAAGTTAGGTCATGTAGATTAAAATAAACTGCCTTATTCTCTTCCATACCCTGGATAAGATATTTCTTGGCTAAGAAGAAGTGTCTCTGCTTTCATCCCACTGTTTGGATTGAGATTACCAAAGGATACCTAAATTTGTGCTCAGAAGTAGTCTCTTTTTTATGTACTTCTATTTCATTTTAGAAAAAGTACCATTCAAGTTTAGAGAGAAAGACATAATCTTCCCTTTAGCTTTTTGTACCAAGTCATAATCTACAGGTGAGAGAAGAGGCTGCAGGCAAATCTAATATTCACTGCACAAGGCCCAACCATCTATTTGATCATCTAGTACCAATATGGCCATATAAAATCACATACGAAAATTACCTGAAGGATTGGAAAAATCCAGCATGCTGGTGGTGGGCTGCAGGAGGTCAGGGCTGCTGGATGAAAGTGTCCCAGGAATCGGCATTATGGCCAGACTGTGCCTGCAGTGTCTCGTTCCCACAATGCTGTCATCTTGTGATTGGCTTAGGCCTCCATCACTTCAAAAGAATGTCATATATCACTTTAAAGTATTTGAGGATACTTAAATAGTAAACACTTCGATTCTCCAAGCACTAAGGCATAACAGAACCAAGTCAAGGTGGTTATTTAAACAATTAAAATATTACAGAATTTTTTTACAACAGGACAACTGTAATAATAAAAATGGGAATAAAATGTTAATTACACTCAAAATTTAACTTATACATCTAAGTGATTCTACTATGTCATGAAATAGTTGTATTTAGTTTCTACTGGTTTTGTAGAGAAAGTAAACTTGAGTGTTTAGGGAGTCCTTGAAATCTGCCAGCTTCACTGGACACTAATGCATGCATCCCACAACACACAGTCACGTCATAGCAAAGTGTTCTATATTTCTCTCTCTCCCTTTCTCCAGAAAATCTTGGCAACTTTTTAGGCAAAGCATGGAGTTGGGTCTAAATCCAAACAAAAAAATATGGTAAGTTGTAGATAACAACAGGGCCAACTTTAAGCAACAAAGTAAGAGAGGTCTTTAAACATAGAAGGAAAAGGAGGCCCAGAACAAAAACAGAATTAAAACAAAAATTATAGCCTCTGAAGTTTATTCTAGGGGTACATTATTTCTTGTATGATCTCTCAAGTCTATTTAAGCAAACAAAATATTCTTCCTTTAAAATATCTTAGAAGTGTCACATAGGCAACTCCAAATCCACCTCAGAGAAAAAATAAAAATAAAGAAACACAAAACTGTCACTTAAGTTTTAGGTATCCTAAAATACTAACTTAGTTTTAAAGTAAAACAGTCCTTTCTTTTTTTAAAGAAAGAATAATAATGAAAAAAAGATTTCCATTAGCATCAATATCAATACTATTTTTCTCTTAGGATTGAACTTGCATTAAAACCAATGCTTTCAGTTAGTATTAATTCCCATCTATATTTTATTCAATGCAGCATTCTGACTAGTACTTCCTACACATAGAAACAAAAGTATCACAGAATACTTACCTATTATAATGGAAATGATTAAGGTAGTCTTATAAATGAATAAGAATACATGTAGAATATATTATAAGTAAAATACAGGATTTAGGATGATTAGAAAACTATGCAAGATGAAGAGTTACAGGACTATAAAATAAATAAAGGACTATTAATAGCCAGACAAGGAAGAGAGGGCCAGGACATGGGGGAAAGAGCTGAAGAATCAGGAAAAAGCATAAAGACATGGAAGAAAGCAAAGATTAGTGTTTCAAGAGCAAGCTTTGATGTCAGGCAGACTTGGATTATTAGCTGTTTGACCTCAAGGCAAATTTCTTTTTCTTTCTGGACCTTGGTTTTCTCATCTATAAATGTGAATAATACTGTTATAATCAGGACTACTTTAAGGATTAAATTAGGTAAAGTAGGTGAATGTTCTGGCACAGAAGAAAATATGGTCACTATTTCTAAGAAGAGACTTAAGTACTTTTAACAAAATTAAAATGAGAACAGTACAAACCCAGAAAGAAGAAATATTTTAGTCAATTTATATTGAAAACCAGAGGGGAACAGAGTGGGACAAGCAAAGGCACTACAGGCACAGGAAATGCTTTCCTGGGGAGGGACGGCAGTCTAATGTGACAGATAAGGAAAAAGAAGTATCACATTTGTGAAATAAATTGCATTTAACCTAAATTGGCTCCTTTAATTAGGTTTGTATGTCTAGAAATCTGAGCTAAATGTTTTAAAGCTAGGTAGGAGGGAAAAAGAGAGAAGGGCTTTCACAGATACTTAAATTATGTAAAAAAGTTTTCTTTTCTTTTTGAAAAAGCAACCATCTTTAATTCTGTTTAAAAACAAACTTGCCAGTTTTTGGATAGAGAGGGTCAGGTAACAATCCAAGGAATCAAACTGTTAAAGAGGTTAGCCAGTCCTACTAATTAAATACAAGCAACTTTAACAATGTTAGAAAATTGTAATTTTCTATTAAAGGGAATTTACTGCATCAGGAAAAGCAAGTTGGAATAAAAGTCCTAATATATCTCTTAATGATGCTATCTAACACCACTTCTGCTTTTTAATTATCAATGGATATAACGCTACACAGCTATAATCATGTAAAGCTGGTTACAAATTCATGGTAATTAAGGTTGAGGTATATAAATGAAAACCACACTGCCATGTACACTCCATGCTATGACATGAATGAAACAGTATTTAATTGGCAAAATATCCATGCTGTTTGAAAGCTGAATCAAAGAAACCCCATTTGGCAAATAATTATGTCATTTCTTACCAAAACAGTCTCCTGAGAAGGTGATGCAATAACAGAAACAAGATAGTTTTGAAAAATTTCTCAATATTTTCTGAACCCTAAATTTACTTAGAATAAAAGTACTTAGTTTCATATGAAACCATAAAGGCCAAATAAATATTGATATGCAAATGAAAAATAATCTCAATATTACAAGTAAACAAAGTATACTGATAAGAAATGGAAAGAAAAAAAGTAATTCCTGCTAAGCAAGCAGGGTAGTCTACTTCTGGGAATGTACTAATGTTATACAATAATATGTTACTTAGGCAATTGTGATTTAAAAAATAAGTAAGTGAAAGGTGACTGATTAAAAAACAGGAAATCGATTTCCCGAAATGTGAAGTATTTTCAGGTCAATAAAAACCACACTGCTGTCTTAATTTACAGATGTTATTCAAATCAATAACTTTTTTTCACTTTAATTTTCAGGAACATTCTTTTGTTTTAAAATTTTGTCATGATTTGGGATTTTGGAATTGTCTCTTCTTATCTCAAGTATTTGTTCCTTCCTTATATTCTTTCTTTCCTCCTCTCACAGATGAAAACATTCTTTCTTACAGTATTTCTATGATAATCCATCCTTTAAACACATGTGAGTGCCGCTAAAGGCACAGACCAAGTTTCCATTCTTGGTGTCTCTTCCACAAAGCTCTGGCACATAGGAGATGCTCAGAAATTACAGAACTGAACTCATTAAAATTTTCTTTTCAATTAAAAAATAACAAATATTCAAAGCAAAAAACTTCGGAAATACAAAAGAAAGCAAGGAAGAAAAGGAAAACTTAGCTATAAAACCATGTCTTACAAAAACTGCAATCACTGTTTTGATATCTTCTAGTCATTTTGTGATGCAGAGTGCAATTTATTTAACCAGCTTGTAGTTGGACATTTAGGATATTACCAATTTTGTCAGATTATAGATAATACAACTAAGAGCATCTAAACATAAATCTTCATCTAATTATTATTAGAAATGGAATTTTTAAATCAAAGGATATGGCCATTTTTAAAGCTCTTAATAAAAGCTTCAAAATGTTTTACAAAAAGATTCATCATTTTATATTACCACAGCAGTCTAAGCTTATTATCTGTTATCAATTCTATCCCTGACTTATTCTGTCAATCTTTGATGAAACAAATGGCATCCTGTATTAAACTATATTTCCTGGATCAGTATTGACAAAGAATATCTGATTCGTGTTCCCTATTTTTCTATTGAAATTTTAGTGATTTTTTTCCTAATTGATTTTTAAGTGCTCTTTTTTTATGAAGGCACATATACTTTTGTGTAGCAAAATTGACTGAATTCAGTTCACATGCTTAAGTGCCAAAAAATAAAACATACATTCTCAAAAATGCAAAGTGGCCAGTCTGATAGGTAAAATGACAAATCAGCTCTCCCCACAAAACAGGCTCCACAAACCTTTATGACTCCTTCTAAAATAATCTATAATCTATTTTTTTGGTACTTATGTGGCTGAAATAATTAGCATTTTACTTCATTTAAATATGTTTAGAAGAAACAGCCAGATTAACATGAACTCTTGAAGTATAGCATTCTATTCATGTTGATATTCATAGCCAACAGCTTTTCTGTTGGCACAAAGGAAGAGACTCAATAAATGCTCGCTGACTTATAAATGAAAAAATCCCTTCTGAGTTTAAGTAAAACTATTTTTACTAGGTCTTTTTTTGTGGGGTGGCACTGGGGGTACCAACATATAGTAATAATATTTGAGAATACTCAACTGACTGTTCCTGGCGACCTCAATTTCTACACCTCCTGCTGTAACCAAAGATAGAATCCAAGTACAGTAACTGACTCTCATTCCCCAAAAGATAATGTGGAAATGAGATATTGATTCGGTTGCCTGGAACTTGAGTGTGCTGGCTGCAATGTGACACTAACAAGCTGGAGTTAGTTGCAATTACAATGTTCTCTGGTTTTAGATGACACATGTCATACCTGTGCCACTGTCAAAATGAGAACCAGTTAAAGGAGATACATGTATTTCAGAACCAACCCTTTGGAGTTTCTGGAAGTGGAACTCAGGGCAATCCCTCCTAAAGAACTCTCCTCTGTGAACTCTTTTCTGCCTTCTGGTCCCTCTGTTTTCTTCCTTTGCCACAGTTCTGGTCACCCTAAACTGTCCCAGCCTCAGTGTGGCCACGCCCCCTAACATTCTCACTCAGTTCTCATTTGTGAGAACAAGCCATCTCCTACAGTGTTTGCTACAGTGTGCTCAGAATTAAAAAACTTAGAGATTTCAAAGTTATGATTTTTATAAACCACTCACCTCAAGGAAAGGAGTCAACTCAAACAGGAATGAGTAATGAACTTTCTATGAATCCCTGAGATTAAGAACAAAGCTCAGGATGTTTCAATCCTCTAGGAGTCTCAAATTAAAAGAAGAGCAAATGTGTGTTTTCCTGACCGGAAATAAAAACTCAAGAAGAAGAGCATTTTCTGATCAGGAAATCTTTGATATTTTTAACTAATGAAAAATTATTTTAAAATAGCTATCTTTAAAGATGTGAACTGACACTTAACTGAATTCTAAGTTGCCTTCTAAATGGTCTCCCTGCTTTCCCTACTACATTGTGCTGCACCCACAAGCCCAAAGCACTGATGTAGCCATCAGAGAAGTCTTCCTGGAAGAACAAATCCTATCAGATCACATGGCTTCTCATGGCTCCCTATCATGATGAAGTCTGTATCTTTGTAACTTACCACTCTCTCTCTCACTTCCTCTCTAGGTGCAAACACACAAACACACAGTCTACTGAAACCTAACACATTTGTTCCTGTCTCTGCACATACCAGTTGTCATCCTGTAATGTAAGAACTTTGCAGTATGCCTGCTTTCTCTTTTAGATTATTTACTCTTGGAGGACAAGAAATTCCTATTCATCTTTCTGTCTCTGGACACTGAGCTTTAGCACATAATGTGTGAAAAATAAGGGCTCCTGATATGAATTCCTTAGAGGTAAGGAATATCTCTTTCCATCTCTCTATCACCTGGCACAGTGCCAGGAACTTATCAGGACCCAAATAAATATTTTCTTCGAATGTGTTTTAATATGCTTTACTTCTTCCGCTGATTAATTCATTCTTATTTATTTATTTAGGAAAGGGTCTCACGCTCTGTTATTCGGGCTAGAGTCCAGTGGCATCATCATGGCCCACTGCAAACTCAAATTCCTGGGCTCAAGGCATCCTCCTGCTTAAGCCTCCTGAGTAGCTGGGACTACAGGTGTGCACCACCATGCCCAGCTAATTTTTCTATTTTTTATAAAGACATGGTCTCTCTCGTGCTCAGGCTGGTCTGAAACTTCTGGCCTCAAACAATACTCCTGCCTAGGATAACAGGCATGAGCCACCATGCCTGCCCCATTGTTTTAACTTATTCAATAAATACTGAGTACCTATTATGCGCTACGTATTGTACTGTATTTGATTAGTACTTTTGTAACTGCTTCAGGAAGCTGATAATGTAAAATATACACAGATATATATTAGAGTCATCCCCAACTGTGCCGCTTAAGTGGATGATTCCACCAGTATTATACAGACCTCAATTTACATTTAAAATCTTCAAGTATTACTCAGTTTTGCTGATATCCCATTTTGGAAATAGAAAATAGATTTGATTAAAAAGTTCACCTATAGATTTTAAATAAATAGTGCCACAAGGGAAAGATGATTTTAAAAAACCAAAAAAAAAAAAAAACAAACAAAAAACTGGTAGCAATGAATATATTCCCAAGATTTAAGATGTGTCCAAATTTGTAGATCAGGGGACTGAAATTGTACTGAAAATAGACAAAAAGAGATTTCATAAAATAAAACTGATGGTCTTTTCCAAAATTCAAAATAATGCTAACGGAAGATGACATAATCTAACAGTGGTAATTTCATGAAATTGATGGGGAGATACTCAGAATTCATTCTTTATTCATGTATTGCTAGAAAATGTTATATCAGGTCGTATAAAAAAGCAAGTGACCCAAACTTCCCTCCCCCACAATAAAAACTTTACAGTCAATATGAAAATTCCTACATGATTGAGATTGGCATTACCTACCTAAATAGTTTTGGAGGCAAGATACTAAATCGTGTTTTATCCAAAATTTTCCTGATTTTGTTTCTTCCACCTGAAACAGTATTTGCTTTAACTTTCTTATTTCCTTTCTCCTGTGATGTTTGTTCAATATCTGCTGGTACATCCTGGATAGAATGGCGATTACTTTTTTTTTCAGCAATTTTGGGAATATGAGGAACACCAGATTTCTCTTGTTCAGTCCTACCAAGTAACTCTTTGAATACTGTGGAAATAAACAAATAAATTTGTCATTTCTTTTCTTCCCTTTAGAAAGTTTTTATACCAACAACAAATTTTAAGGATAAACATAGTCACTTTCTATTATTCAGACTTCCGCAGTCCTATTCAATTAAACATTACCACATTTATACCCATCCTTTATTAGCTATATTTACTTCTTTCTTCAATTTTTAATACTTGACTATACTGATGTTACCCAAAAGCAATAAAAGGAAGTTACTGAGAGAAATGGAAAGGAAGTGGGTAGGTTGCAGGCATATCTGAAAAATCCTGAGGTTCCTATTTAGGTAACACTAGTATAACTGGTAACCAACTAATTTTATAGATACAGATATTTAGATTCTATTATTTATGCTATTCCTTATCACAATACACTTGGCCCTTGATCAACACAAGTTTGAATTGTGCATGTCCATGTATTAATATATGTGAATTTTTTCCAACCAAATCCAGATGGAAATGCCATATTTGTGAGATACAAAATGTGTACTGCTGCGAAGGGCCAACTGCAGGACTGCAGTATGCATAGGTTTTGGTATGTGCAGGGTGGGGGTGGGGTCCTGGAACCAATCCCTTGGGTCTGCCAAGGGACGACTGCGCGTGCCACTTCAGATGAAACATAATCATTACAGTAGGACTCAGTTTTGTAAAATTTGGTGATTAAAATAATGCAAAAAGCTCTGCCAGATTTCTTTTTAAAACTAGAAATAGTACCAAATTTGGTAATATATAGTAATTTCCTCAATGTCACATTATGAGGCTTATGTCATTCAATAATGCAGCTAACAACATTCACTACAGTGGTTTGAAATAAACCACCAATTATACCTTGAGTATCTTTCTATCAACTCCTAGTCTGGTAAACTACTTCATCCTTGGTGAGGATGTAGGCACATTTGGGGAAGTGCCTATGTAGCACTCTCTTTTCCTAGACCTGATTTTCACTCTGTGAGAAGGCCTACATCTTCTCAGGATCAGACAAAGATAAATCCATATAAGGTTATAAATCTAGAAACCATTAATATCATTTTCCAGTTACAGATACAGAAAATCTATATCTATTTTTCATTAAGTATGCCATGAAAAGAAGTTTTTGAGGACTACTGTTGTTTTATGTGTGTATTCTTAAATCAGACAGATCAATGCTAGAGAGGAAAAAAAACACACTAGAAAGATATATGCTAGGCCAGGCACAGTGGCTCACGCCTGTAATCCTAGCACTCTGGGAGGCTGAGGTGGGAGGATCACTCAAGGTCAGGAGTTCGAAACCAGCCTGAGCAAGAGCAAGACCCTGTCTCTACTATAAGTAGAAAGAAATTAATCGGCCAACTTATATAGACAAAATTAGTCAGGCATGGTGGAGCATGCCTGTAGTCCTAGCTACTCGGGAGGCTGAGGCAGGAGGATCGCCTGAGCCCAGGAGTTTGAGGTTGCTGTGAGCCAGGCTGACGCCACGGCACTTACTCTAGCCTGGGCAACGAAGTGAGACTCTGTCTCAAAAAACAAAACAAAAAAAACCAAACAACTAAAGTAGGAAATAACTTTCCTGAAAAGTCATGGTGCCTAGAGAAGTTGGAATTAAAGAGAAATGGTAGCTGCATATTCTTGAGAATAGACACAAAGGTCTTCAGACACATGAGCTGTAGAACCAAACTGCTTATCATTAGGGTTAGCTTTGAGCAGAGTACTCTGTGACCTTTATACAAGAAAATCTGCAGATTATATAAACATGTCCACTGAAACCCCAATCACAGAAAATGGTGATCTTTTCTGTTGTTTTAGGGATAAAAGAAAGCAAGAATTCCAACACCAAGGATTTACAAGTAAGACTGAAATGGATAAAGCTGTAAGAATTGATGAATTATAACATGAACAGTTTGGTATTCAGTTTTAAAATCTGGATTATTTTGAGTTTCAACAGAAGAATGGTACCATATTACCAAAACACAGTTGCAGGCTTATAAGAAACACATTTTTCTGTGTTCAAAATAATGGAGATTTTTAGGCATCACCTTCCAAAGATAGTATGCTTGATTAAAATACAGTAAAATTTATATTTTTTAAAATATCACTTTAAGGCCGAGTGCAGTGGCTCATGCCTGTAATCCTAGCACTCTGTAAGGCTGAGGTGGGAGGATCGCTCAAGATCAGGACTTCGATACCAGCTTGAGCAAGACTCTGTCTCTACTAAAAAATAGAAAAAAATAATTGGCCAACTAAAAACATATATAGAAAACTAGCTGGGCATGGTGGTGCATCCCTGTAGTCCCAGCTACTCAGGAGGCTGAGGCAGTAGGATTGCTTGAGCCCAGGAGTTGGAGGCTGCTGTGAGCCAGGCTGATGCCACAGCACTCTAGCCTGGGCGACAGAGTGAGACCCCTCTCAAAAAAAAAAGAGGGGCGGAGCAAGATGGCCGAAAAGAAACACCACCAGACAGAGTGTCTCCGCAAAAAAGACAGTTTCTAGAAGAAATTAGAAGAAAGAAACAAGCAGAAGAGCATACATTGGCCAAAGGGCGGAAGGAAGGGTATGGGAGACTCCATGGGAGGAGGTTGCGGAGGAGAACTGGAAGCAGAGACCTCCCAAGAAGCTTAGAGACCAGCAGCAAGGGTAGGTGGAGAGGTTAACTTTCCCCTCCCTTGCATCTCAGACTGCTGGTGGACTCCCCAGTGGGAGGAGAGACCTGTGAACACCAGGCCAGAGACGACCACTGCCAGTGAGCGGTAAGGCGGCACCAGGCTCCCAACTCCCTCGGGGCACCTCTGTGTACACAGACCTGAGCTGCACGGCAGATGTCATACTGCTCCATTCTCCCCTCTCCTGACCCTAACCGCGACTGCCGAGAGAGACAATACAGCCACCAGCCGGAGGCATTGCCAGGGAACGGGACCTTCCCTTTTGGGGCCCTCCAGCTGACTGAAGGATACTCAGACTGTGAGCTCCCTATCCGCCAGCCCTCCCAGGTGCTGCTGGCCCAGTGACTCCAGAGAACGGGGCAGACCCTGAGGTTGAGAGACATCGACCCAGCTTGGGCTCCTGTGGGTGAACTGAGACTGGCACTCCTCTGCCTGGTGGGGTCAGGGATTAAATTCTGGGGCCCAGAGGCCAGACCTGCAGACCAGATCCCGTGCACCCAGGTCTTGCACTGCCTGGGGCATAGAAGGGATATTCCTGAACAGCCTACTGAGGTGTGTGAGCCTTTAAGGGTAGATCAGCGTCCTTGAGGGCAACCCTTCTCCTAAAGGGGAGCCGTGCGCCCAGCCCAGGCAGCGACCCCGCATGGGGAACCTCCTGGCGGGCATCACAGCCAGGGAAGGCCCGGTGGTGTGAGGTCTGGCCTGCTGGCAGAGGCTCAGGAGTAGCGCGGAGTTGGGGAGGGTAGAAAGGAGCGAGGCCCGCTCCAGACTGCAGGTCTCAGATGGCCTCAACCCACATGCAGACTTTCTGACAGAGCCGGGCCATTCCAGCCCCTCCCTGACAGCTTTTCCCTGAAGCAGAGAACAGAACTTTCACCCCTGCTAACAGCATTTGTGGTGCCTGAGGGCAGGCTTACCCAACCCAGCTCTGCCCAGTCTCTCTCCTAGACCAGTCCTCACTGAGGGGGAGAAAAGGACACACCTGGAAGTCCCAGGGCCCCACCCACCATCTGAGGCCTCTCCAGTGGAAGAAGAGCAGGTTACAGGACACAAGAACAGCATAGCCTGCTCCTCCGAGCAAGCGCCACCTACTGACAGGGAGGACATTCTGCACACCCTTTTAATAGCACCTAATGACTCATACAGGGTGTGGTCGAATCTCACCCACAAACACCACCTACAGGCTCACAGACTAAACAGGGTGTGTCATTACCCAAATGAAAACCTAAAGGAAAGAAGCAACAACTGATCCAGATGGGAAGAAATCAGTGAAGGAACTCTGGAAATATGAAAACTCAAACAGAAAGCACACCCTAAAAGAGGAACACCAGCCCCTTGGAAATGGACACCAATCGAAATCAGACCAATAAAATGACAGAAGAAGAATTTTGAGCGTGGATTGTAAGAAAATTCAACCAGTTCCAAGAAAAACTGGATAATCAACACAAAGAAAACACAAAAAGACTCCAGGACCTAGAACAAAAATTCACTAAAGAAATTGAAACAATGAAGAAAAGTCTAACCGAACTCCTGGAAATGAAGAATCAATTCATGGAACTACAAAACACAGTGGAAAGCCTCAAAAACAGGGTAAATCAAACAGAAGAAAGAATCTCAGAGATTGAAGATAACACCTTTCAATTAAATAAATCAGTCACCGAGACAGAGCAGAGAAACAAGAGAAAAGAGCAAAGCCTACAAGAGATGTGGGATTATGTGATGAAACCTAATGTGAGGGTTATAGGTTACCCCAAGGGGAAGAAGAAAACACTCAAGGGTTGGATAAGCTATTTGAAGATATAATAGAGGAAAATTTCCCAGGCCTTGGTAAAAATCTTAATATACAAACTCAAGAAGCTCAGAGGACCCCTGGGAGAGTCAATGCAAACAGGAAGACATCATGATATACAGTCATCAGACTGACCAAAATATCAATTAAAGAGGCCCTTCTATGAGCTATAAGACGAAAGAAGCAAGTTACATACTAAGGAAAACAAAATCAATACACAGAAATCAGAGGCATTTATATGCCAACAACAGTAAAAGTGAGAACCAAATCAAAGACTCAATTCTCTCCAAAATAGCAACAAAGAAAATAAATACCTTGGAATATATTTAACTAAGGAGGTAAAAGACCTCTACAGGGAGAACTATGAAACACTGAAGAAGAAATAGCAGAGGACATAAACAGATGGAAGAATATACCATGCTCGTGGGTTGGCAGAATCAACACTGTTAAAATGTCTATACTACCCAAAGTGACCTACAGAGTCAATGCAATCCCTATCAAAATACCATCATTTTTCACAGATACAGAAAAAATAATTTTACGCTTCGTATGGAACCA